ATGATCACGAACATGTTTGCTATAAGCAGGTCTCTCTGGGCACCGAGCATGACCATTTCTCTGAGAACTTTCTGGATCCGAGGACTGACTCACCTTCCACCTTGCTAGGTTTTTCCACATTGCTCTCCATGGCGGCTGTACCCCGCATCCTTGTCCCCAGCACTTGCAGGCTGTTGCTTTTTCTCCTTGGCCTTGCCAAGCCCCCCAGGACGCCATGAGCGTTCCCAGCCTCGGTGGGCAGGACGGCCGTCACCAGCCATTGTGCAGCCTGGTCTCCAGGTGTCCTTCTGTCTCCTTCCATGTTGGTTGGTCTTTTGATCATTCTGTGATGGAAGCTCACAGATTGGTGATAGGTTATCCCCCATCTGTAACCTAGTTTTTAAAAACCCTTTCATGCCATCCTTTTCCATAGACAAATTCTAATGTTTCAATATGGTTGATTTTTATCAATATTTGACCTGATGGTCGGTGCCTTTTCTGTGGTCTGTAATAGGTACAATCAATTGTCATTATTCATGGTAATCGTGTTCTAGTAGGTTGCCACAAACACTGACCCAATGAACACTGAACTTTTGCTGCTCCAGAAGAAATGCAAGGTTCAGTTCCTTGGAGCCCCCGGGCCGCGTGTGTTCAGTCAATTCATAGCCTTGCTTTAGGTGTGCGTATTTAAAGACACATTATGTCATACTGTGCTGATGGTTCGTTGACTTTCAGCTCACAGCCAGCTGTAGCGTCTCCCGACTGATGCAGCTTTCCTAACATGCAGGCTTGTCCCTGGGTAGCACATCACACCCTTCCACTAGACTTTGCCTCTGAAGAGCGCGGTCGGCAGCGACATCAGCACCGTCCGGCACAAACCAGGAAGCTGGCACTAAGCTGACCACCAGAAGGACAGTTACTTACAGTCTTGCTCAAACAGGGGGGGCAGGCCCTGCCTTTCTTGTTCAGCCTAAGCTGGAAACGTGTGTGTGAGATGACTCAGCGTGCACCTGTCAGCAAATGGCTATAGGGGCACCAAGGGTATCGATTTGGGAGTTTAGAATAAAGTACAGCAGGTAGGCAAACCCCTCAAACACGGAATTCATGAACCATGAGGAGTGAGTGCACTGCCGTGCTTGGAAGCTGCGACGATAGCTCTACGTTGCTGTCTTACGTTTTTGTGGTCCTACTTCTCAGTTTGAGGCTTCATAGTTCTCCTTTGTGAATGGTGCAGAATTGGAGATGGTTCTGTAGGAATCAGTGGTTATTCTGACACCTTCGCTCTGCCCATCTCCTTTTCCTACCAATGAGTCGAATGTCAGTGTCCCAGTTCACGTCACCCTTTCTTGAGCTCTTCCCTCACTTGATCCATTGCAGTGCTTATTTTTGATTCCACCACACTGTGCTCCTATCACAGATCTTGACATCCCGTGGGAACTGTTCTGGACTGTTCCATGTGTGGATTTACTTCTGTGAAGCAAGAGCTTCCCAAGAATGAGGAAGATGATTTAGAAGTTATCATGTCATTTCCCCAAGTGGTTCTCATCAGAGATGCCTTGGAGTCCTCATTGGCCCATGGGGCATTGGTGGTTAGAGATTGTGCCAGTCTAGCAGGTGTATAGAAAAGATACTGTGTGGCCTCCGAGGGCTTCTCAGCTGTTACTAAAAGCTGATTACATTTTAGGTATCTGTTCACCATTCACTTTTGTTTTTGCTTTCATGTCTATGGTCCATTTTTCCATTGGCTTTTTGTCTTTTTTATTGATAGTTTCAGGTTTGCTTCTTTTTTCTGTCTTGAGAAAACAGCTATTCTTAGTAAGTGTTTGGTTACTTTTCCCTCTCATATTTAGGTCCTTCATGCATCTGTCACTGTTTCTGGGCGTCGTGTACAAATAGGCAGCTATTTTAGCATTAGTGATTGGCCCATTTTTTTCCCACAAAATAATCTGTTTTGCCTTGCCTATATCAAGTCCTAATACTCACGTGCACCCTTTGCTGTTCAGTGACTGTTTTCAGATTGCCGACATAGCTACCCCTTGGTGTCTGAGGACAGCTGGTTCTAGGGTTCCACAGATACCAAAAGCCGGAAATGCTTGAGTCCCTTGCACAAAGGTCACAGTATTTGCACATCATCTTTCTGTAAGTCATCTCTGGTTCACTTACGGTACCTGACACAGGTAGCACTACCGTACTCCCCAGGGGATACTGGGAAGAAGGTCTGTGCATGCTCAGTACTGATGTAGCTTCTTAAAAAATATGTGTGCTCTGTGGTTGGTTGACTTGGCAGAGGTGAAAGCCATGGGTACAGAGGGCGATCCGTGCTCCTAATTAGTGTAGTTCTGTGATCAAATCTGAGCGCTGGGGGGAGAACGCCAGCCTCTCAGCTTATCTCGGAATGCGGCTGTTGCTGCTCCCACAAGGCCTGGGATCTTGTCCAGAATGTGTCTTATCACTCAGAAAATGTTACAGAAAACACAAGTTGCTGATTTTATCCTCCCCACCCCCCCCACACACACATTAGTCATACAACCAGCAAGAGTTTTATACCAGATTCTACTTGTACATAACTTTCTAGTTTATGTACAAATGAAGTTTTCAGTATGTATGTGGTTAGAGATTTGGAAATCACACATATTTATTTCCTTGGAGTTGTAAGTTAAAATTCAGAAGAAGGCAACAGATACTCCATAAACTTTCAAATGAATGTGTAGCAATCATTTATTTTGGGTGAGGCATTCTGTGGGCAGACTAGTGCAAGGTCTGGTCCCCGTTCTTGATGCTGTCTTAGAATGGAGGCAGAGACACAGTGTGAACACTCCAACCGTGGAGTCAGATGTTCCCTGCTTTCACGCTCACTGTCCCGTTACTGTGGCTGCTCTGGTGGACAACAGGAGGCGCCCTTGTCCAGAGACAAAAAACATGTTCTTCACATCAAGGAACTAGTGGTGGAAGATCTCTCTCCCCTTACCCTCGTTCTCTTGCGCTCTTCCAAATAAACACATCTTTCCACAAAGCAATCAATAATCCAATGCTTAGTTCAGATCTTCTCAACCCCCACCTGTTATAATCGTCACTGTTGGATGTTGTCTTCTCACCTTTGCCTTGAGCTGTGCTCCTCTGCTGTCATGCCTTCCACCCTTACACCTTGGTGGATAGAACTTCTTAACGGTGATTGCTCTTTTTCCAAAGGAAGAAAACGTGGAAGGGTTGGGGAGGGGAGAGAAAAAAACCAAGTGAATAAGCTCGCAGAAATGAATCTAAATCAATTTGTCCTCTGTGCAACATTTCCATCAGGCAAAGAATGGGCAATGGGAAGTCCTGGCATTGCTCAGGTGGCGGCTGGTGTGCCCTCTAAGACTGCCCCGTGTCGCCTGGCATGGTGTTAGGAATGACCAGAGTGCCTTTGATTGGGTCAAATGGAATCCATCATTTGTACATTTGCCTAAGGATTTCAAATGCCTGCTCCTCTTCATTCCTTTATTCTTCCTACAATTTGTTAGGCATTGTGTAGTTAATTTTCATGAGTGCTAATAGCTTATGTAGGCACAAAGCACAGCAGTGAAAAACTTGGCTCCTTTTCATGCTTGCGTCTGGAGTGACCTCAGAAAGGGATTTCCTGGAACATGGGTTTCTCCGCTAAGGCTGTCAGAGGGCAGAGGTAATGGCCTTATTGAAGCCAGGAAAGAATTCTGGAGGAATGCAAACACAACTCCAGGTGGTGGGTAGTTATTTAGTGGAGGGAAACCAAACATGTAAACAGCTGGAGGAGGAAGTTATTCTGGCCTGTGTCACCAACAGATGTGCTTCCCAAGACGCAAAGCCAAACCAGGGGCCGTGCTTTGTGCACCTGTGTGTGTGGTGTGTGGTGGAGTATGCAGGATGGACAGTATTTGCAGTGGGAGCTTGGTTTCAATGGTAATGGAATATGTGGTCGATGAAATTAAGCTTTCTGCATCAAGTGTGTGTATGGCCTTCTCATCCTATTTTACACAAACCCTGTGAAGTGCCGGCAGAGGTCTCACTAACCGGATCAGGGTACTCCCACGTGTGTCACATTTCATTGCCAGAAGTGCCGCGTTTTGTGTTGGGACTCTGTGCGGGACCCTAATCCCTGACGTGTGATGAATTGGCAGTGAGCAGCGTGGGGCTGTCAGGGGCAGCCGCGAGGTGAAGGCACATTTAGCTCCAAGGGAGCGGCTCTCCTCATCTACCATACTTCCATTTGTTTTGAAGGACACCCAGAGAGACACAGAGCTAGACCAAGAGCCTTCCATCTGCTAGTTCATTGTCCCAGTGCCTGAAACAACCGGAGCCGGGCTGAAACCAGGAATCTGAAAACTCAGGCCCCGTGCATGGCAGGATGCCAAGGACTGGAGCCGTTCCCGCTGCTCCCGGGATGTTCATAAGCAGAAGCTGGCTTGGAGGGGAAGGCAGGGCTCGCTCACAGACACCTCTCTGCGGCACGTGGGTCTCCTTGGGACAACTTCACCTTCGATGCTCACCCTCACGTGTATCTACACTTCTCTCAGGATAAAAAGTTACTTGAGATCTTGGCATTTTTCCAGCATTCATTGCAGTTCTGACTTACATGTTGCAATGGATGAAATACAGTCCATCTCTTTGTGTTGTCCATTGCAAGACTTTATTAGACTGTTTACTCACTACCTAATACTTACCAAAGCTGTGAGATACCTTGCTTGGTAGTAAGTGGTCTGGTCAGCATCATGTGAGGAGTTCAGGGATGTGAGTACATTAAACAGCAGTTTGGATTATGCCACGCACACAGCCCAGCCTGAGGCGGGCGTTAGCTGCACCAGGGCCGTCTGCATGGCCATGAAGCTGACATCCCATGCACTGGCCGCACTGGGCTGTCTGCATGGCCATGAAGCTGACCTTGTCCCACGCATTGGCTGCACCGGGCTGTCTGCATGGCCATGAAGCTGACCTTGTCCCACGTTGGCCACACCATGGCCATCTGCGTGGCCGTGAAGCTGACCTTTTTCCCACATCTTCTCTTACAGGATCTGCTCTTCAGTGTGTGTGCCCTCAATGTCCTCTCCACCATCGTGTGTGCGTTGGCCACGGCCATGTGCTGTATGCAGATGGTATCTCTGGATGTCCTGCAGATGGTAAGTGGCCTCCCACCCACCCGGGAGCACTCAGCACCCATGGGCCCCATCCTTCCTCCTTGTACCCGTGTGTCACCTGGGTAGAAGCCAAGTTCATGCACACTGAGCTCCTCGGGGGCCACCTCGTGCTGCCCTCCGGGGATCGAGGGGTCTGGCTCCCGAGGCAGTGGCCGGATGTTGGCCCTGACGAGGGTCCTACCGAGAATGCGTTGCTGTCTAGCCCAGCCAGGAGGCCAGCCCCAGGGTCATGCACTTGTCACCGCACACTCATACATGCATGTTCTCTAGTAGTCTCCTGTCTTCAGTGTCTCTCTGCCTCTAGCTTACCTGTCTGCCTCTCTGCCCTGGCCTCGTGGAGAACAGCCCTGCACCTTGTGAGCAGCAAGGCAGGCCAGCCTCATCGTGGGCTTTTGTTTGGTCTTCTTTTCATCTGCCTCATGGCAGCACTTGAGTAAACAGAGGCAGGGCCAGGGAGCATCGCTACCAAGATGTCAGAAACATAGGGGCCCTGAGCACGCACAGCCCTCAGCTGCCCTCCAGCGCATGCCCATGGCCGTCACACCTGCCAACCTGTCCGAGGAGCAGCTTCCCGAGAGGTGTCTGATCCCACGGAGTTCTGTGGGCCTTATCCATTGGGGGCGCGTAGGGGTGGCTGCCTTCGGTGTGTTCTAGAAAGGGAAGGTTAAGGACTTGGCATCCTGTCACCTCAGCTGACTTCCTGGTAGAATTTCTGTGAATTTCCCACCCATCTGATCAAGCTGCTGGAACGGAAGGGCTGAAATGCGCAGAGTCCCCTCACTTGAAAATTATCAGCTGGTAGCAATCAGCATGGCTGGGCCGCGATCGCACAGTCAGATCAGCCACAGGCGGGGCCCTTGGGGTTGTGATGCATGGAGCAGGGTCTCCATCTATAGAGCAGGTGGTGGTGGTGGCACCTGGGCCTCAGCTTCCACACCTGTAAGCTAGATCTCATGGGACCACTGGCCCTGCCTCCGGGATGAGCTGTAAACGTGGAGGCAGCAGTCAATCCATTAGTGGGGCCACAGCGGTGATGGAGGATGTTCTCTGACAGCGACAGCACTGTGGAGAAGCCTCCAGCTTTGATGTAGGGGTGGCTGTTGTGTCTCGGTTTCCCGTGACTGTCAGAAACAACTGAAAACAGATGAGCTCTCTAGGAAGGCTCTGTCTGCCCGCAGTCATAAAGGCGGCCAGCGACCCGGGCCCAGCAGAGGGCGCTGTGGCGGCCATGCTGCGCCCTGCAGAGTGGGAACCCCCAGAAGCCCCGGAGTTAACTCTGCTTGCTTCATCCCTTCGTGCATTTCAAATTAAGTCCTTGATGCACGTGTGTGACCCACTGCAGCTGACCACAAAAGCAGAGGTAGCCGTGAGAAAGAGACTTCCCATGCTCCCAGCCCAGCAGCACTCCTGGTGTGTGACCGACTCCCTGGGCTTCTCAGCCTGCCTTCCATCCTCCCCTCCCGCCCTGTCTCCTCCTGACCCCTTCTCCACGGCCCTTCCTCCCTCGTGCCTTCTTTCTCCAAGGTGGGCTCGCACCATCCACAGCTCAGCAGATGGTCACCTCCACAGCCTCCCGTGCACTGGCAGCTACCGAGACTGTGATGGCGCCGACACGTGCACATCGGCCCTCTGTATCCGTGTCGGTCAATCTGGCATTGCAGATACCTTTACAAAATGCACCGTGTTGAGCATGTATGTGCACGCTTCTTCCTTGTCCTCATCTCTTAGTTCAGCCCAGCAGTCACAACTCCCCCAGAAATGTCTCAAAATCAGCACCATTGCATGCAAGGGGCTTCAGCATCTCTGGGGTGTTGGTACCCATGGTGAGGGACACAGGGTTGGGGTCCCAGTTCCAGACCCCTCTGCCCAGATACAAATAGACAATTAAGCTGTCAGTGATTTGGGCTGTTTCTTTAGCTGTGGACACGTGAGTCAGTTCTTGGTTTCAGCTCTGTTTAGTCCTATAGGAAGCTCCCTGTACACAGAGCTGCAGCCCCGTTAGCCAACCAGCCCCTGTGTGTCACCTCGGCCGTCCCTCTGCAGAGCGCACTGGCGGCTGGCCACAGCACAGGGCGTCCCTAGCAGCCTTTGTTTTGTCTTTAGACCGTTTCTGCCACCAGCAGTTGAGTTGTAAGCATCCATGGGCATGACTGTAGCTGCTCCCAACCTGGTTTGTGGCAGTGGGGCTTGGACCACATATCTCAACCCATCCAAGCACCAGGCCAAATAATAATAATAATAATAATAATAATAATAATAATAATAATAGCCTGTATTATAGCCAACTTGTGTGCATTGCAAAGGCTCAGTGACAAGAGTGTCACCAAAGATATTGCTGTCAGTTGAGATGGGGATGAGAACGTGGTCATGGATGGGGCTCCAGCCTGAAATGAGCCTCGGGGAAGCTGTGCACACCGTGCCCAATGGCATCTTTAAATGCCAGCTCTGCAGCAGAACACAGAGCACACGTGTGTGGTGGTGCTGGCGTGGTCGCACCTGCACTAAAGCAGTGCCCGTGCAGTCACGTGTGGGACAGGACGCTGAACGACAGTGAAGGTCTTTGCTCAGGGTGCTGTTTTACTCTGCTTCAGGCTGGATTCCTCACTGTGCAATGGTGGCAGTAGAGTGGAGGTGATGCGGCTCTTCCAGGTGTGGGCTGACGTGAGAACGGCCTGGGACTACCCTGAGAGCAGGCCCTGAGGCCCCGTGTGCGGTTTATCCTTGCCTGGGGAGATGAGCTGTTGTTCATAGAAACAGATCTTTATTTTGTTGAAGATGTGGGGAGGGCGTTAGGTGACAGCTTTCTTGTCACTCAGGGCACATGACATATAGTGGTCCCACTAAAAAGGTACAGTTCTGGGGGGTCTGTGTCCATTCACAAAGCTGTGTGGCCTTTGCCAGTGTCCTAGAATTCTGGTCACCCCCTAAAGAGACGCTGTACCTTCCCTCCTGTCACTCTGACACCCCAAGAACTGCCAGTCCAGTCTCCATCTCTGGGGATGTGCTAGTTCAGGATGCTCCACGTGGCTGCAGTCAGATGGGACTTGACAGTGCCCTTCTGTGCCAGGCTGTGTGACAGTAGCAGGCTGTTCTAGGCTATGCATGTTGTGAAGTGCTGCCTGGTGCTCAGGTAACACCTTGGTGTTTCCATGGTGCTCACGTGGGTCTTTGCACCTCCTGGTTGTTAGAAATAATTGTTGTTTTTGTGCACAAGTGGACATGGACTTTCATTTCTCCTGAGTGTATACCTAGCTATTTGTGGCTATTTGTGATGGCTGTTCTGTGGTGGCAGTTGTCTGGGTTTTGCACTTCCACCAAGAGAGGTGTGTTTTGACCCTTTGCACCATTCCAGGAATGTGCCCATCCATGCAGGACTTAATTTAAAATGGAAATATGACTATATAACAGTATTGGGTGTGTGTGTGTGAGAGAGAGTCAGAGAGAGATTTCCATCCTTGAGTAATGTCTTCGTTCATTCACCAAGTGGTATTCCTGGACAGGAAGGCAGCCCTCACTGTAAATATCTGGGCTCCTGTCCTCGGGCCTTCCCTCCCCGCCGGCTCCCTCCCTCCTCCGCTCTGTGACCAGTTTTGCATTTTTCCTGGAGTGTTTAAAACATCTAGACCCAGGCTCCCAGGGTCTGCGTTTGAGGTGTCCTTTCTGCCTCTGACCTTGGATTCCAGCGTCCACCCACCCACCTGCCACGGTGTGTCCCTTCTCACTGCACAGATTTGCAGCTTGCCTCTTTTCAATCCTGTGCATCACCCAGCTGGATCTCTTTGATCTGGCTGGATGTCCATTGGCCAGACCCCACCGTAACTCTCACCGTACTTGCTCTCATCCTCGAGTTGAACTGAGAAGTGTTTGTTTATGACCAGAGCTCCGTGAGGAGGAAGAGGGCTGAGCAGGTGCAGGAGGGCTACCTAGGAAACTCCTTCCTTAGAACCCAGTGCCACGCCACACCACGCCATGCCCCACCCTCCTCGGTGCCTTCCTGGGCAGTGCCCTGCTCTGAAGGCATCACTGCCCCTAACCACTGCAGGGCAGCTCTGCACTTGCCCACAGGGACTGCTGCTCCCACTGGCCACCCCCTCTCAGCATCCCACGTGCTGGCAGACAGAAGCCCAGGCGCAGTTCCCACCTCAGCTGCTGTGACGACTTAGGCCATTCTTGCCCTGTGCTCGTGCCCTGCACCTGCTCCCCTGCCCCTGCTTGTGTGCTGCCCCTTCCTCTCACCCCACGCCCTGACTGTTAGTGTGCAGGCATCTCGCGCGTTCCTCTGTGCTGCCCAGCTGTCAGGAATCTCACAGTGAGAACGAGTTCCCCGACTCCCACCCCAAGCCTGACGCCTTTCTTATTTCTGCCGATCAGCGTTTGGAGATAATGAGCAGCTGTTGAAACATAACGGATACTTGTATGTGTGAGAGGCAAAATGACAGGCCTATCCAAATTCATGAAGCCAGTGTGCAGCTTGGTTTGTTGATACGCTTTCGGGGAGAAGGTTTTTGACCTCCTAAGTGTGTGTGACTTCATTTGTCGGTTGCATCACTTCCTCCCAACTCCCTTCATTGCCTCGGACACAGCGTCTCCTATTGGTGCATCTCCCTGGAGCACCTGCTGGCCGCCCTCGCCTTCGCTCCACTGGGGCTCTCCCCTCTGTGCCTTATGAAGTTTGACCCCTTAAGAAAGGGCAGGTAGGGCACTGTGCCTTCTGCAGGCATGCCCAGCAGTGGTAAAAGCCAGTTGGAGATGTGACACCAGCTCCGGGGAGCCCCAGGGTCACCCCCTCCCACCAGTGCCTTCTCCTCTCAGCTTCACCTCAGTGCTGGCTACACCTGACTTGGCTCTTAGCAGGCAAACAGCGGCCTCCCTGGAGGCCTCAGCTCCACAGGCTGGCCCCTGTGCTAAGTAACAGCTCCTTAAAGCCACAGGGTTGACACACACGCAGCACCATAGACATTCAGTGTTCTGTGGGCATTTGTCCACAAATCCTGTGACCTGGGGTCCCGATCTTCTCTTTGGATAGATTCTTGTGTCAGCTATGGGGATCACCAGGTGCAGCCCCTCTGACCGGGGGGAGCCAGAGGAAGTGGGCAGGATGCAGTGCTCCCCCTGGGGTCCCATACTCTTCTGCGCTCTCAAGGCTGCCCATCTGGACCCTGCAGGGCACCCGCTTCTGCACAGCCACTCTCCTGGGTCGAGTTTCTCCAGCACATTCAACTTGGTTTTCACAGAACAAGCGGCAGCTCCCATCTGTCTGCTTGTCATTTTGTGATGGTGAGGAGGAAGTGAAAGCTGACCTGGGACTGCATGGGAAGGCACCTGAGTGTGGGTGTGGCCAGCAGCTGGGCCCAAGAGCCGTCTGATGGGCAGGAGGCTCCCCAGGTCTGAGGCACCAAGGGAGAGAGCCAGCTATTCAGTGAACTAAAACAATTGCCACTCTGCAATAATCGTCCTGTTGCCACCAAGCCCAAGTCAGGGTGAAGGCTTCCCCTCTGTCTTGTTTTTCTGGAAAGTCGTGATTGTGGCAGGAAAGCTGGGAGAAGGTGCCGACTCCCTGGGGAGGTGGGGAGGCAGCTGTTGGCCAGGAGCGGGCCAGGAGTAGGGGCACACACTCGTCCTGGGACTCAGGGGACAACCCTGGGTGTGATCACCTCCCCTAGGCACCAGGTCCAGGCGTTCCTTCCTCACTGCAGGGCCGATCCGTGGCCCAGGCCAGGCAGAACCACCTGGGGAAGAAGAACGGACTTGGGGCCCACATCCCGCCCACACATCCAGGGCATCCCACGTGCACCTGGGCCATGAGGAAGTGGACATGAGGCCTCAGAGCAGGACACTGGGCAGTCCCAGGGACTCCCAGGGTCGTGAGCGTTTCTGCAGGGAAGTGGCGACTGACTGGGGAGGTTGCCAGGTGGAGGGAACAGCAGGTGTTTGGCTTGGGGCTGAGATCCACGAAGCAGGTTTGTCCCCAGTGTTCTGGCACTGGCTGCTTAGGAAGCTGGAAGCCATGGTGTTCTGCGAGCGGAGGTCTTCCACATAGAGTTGTCAGTGGTGATGACCTCATCGGCTTGGTTTAAAAATAGCTCTGTTAGCAGGATGGAGGCAGACAATCAGAGAGGCGGAGAGAGACTCCTGCAAGGGGCACAGATGAACAGGGCTGATAATGCGCCATGGAAAGGACATGGTGACAGCTGTCCATCCATCAAGCTCAGGATAGTTGAACCCCTTCTGTAACCAAGCCAGGAGTCCAGAGGTGGAGAAGCCAGACAGTACTTGCTTGGGACATGCCCCAGTTCACACAAGGACTGGCTAGCCAGGTGGACAGGGTCCCAAGCTGGCTATGTCCACAGCAGAAAAGAGGAGTGGGTAGGGGAAGCAGCCCCCTTCCCAGAACACTTCCAGCACCCCCTGGTGGTAGGACCTAGCAGGACACCCACATCTCAGAGCAGAGGACAGAGCTGGTGAGATTGGGCTGCAGGAGAGACCCTTGCCTCGTTGAATAAGACTCTGGTGGAGGGGCAGAGAGAACAGAGGCCAAGCAAGGGCTGCAGACTTCTCGCTGGCTGAGCCTGAGGGCTCTGAATGCTTCCCTGAAGATGGGGCTGACGTGCCCTGGGTAGGCAGCACAGTGCTTAGAGCTGCTGCGAAACCTGCTCCGTACCATTGGACGAGGCCCTGGGCTCCAGCAGCTCCCACTCTTGGCACCTGCAAGGGGGTTGCCCGGAGCTCCTGCCACCCCACCACAGCTTCCTGGTGGAATTGCACTGTTCCTGGGAGGGGGCTCGGGCTTTTGCGTTTCACTTGTGATTGGCTTGTCCCAATGGTGGCTGACACTTTCCCTGAGTAGAGGGAGCCATTACCCTCCCCCATCAGCCCAGTGTGCGCTGGCTTTAGGACATCTGCTGTCATCTGCAGCTCGCCCTGCCCCCTACCACACGGCTCCAGTCCCTTTGGCCCCCAGGAACCCTGGAATTAAGAGTTGACCTGATGAGCCTTTTCTATGAGTTCTCAAAGCACATGTTAGGCTGCCTTTTCTTGAAATCAAATAGCTTCCCGCAGGTCCACCCGTTGAAATCCGCCCCCGCCATTCTTTCAGGACATGCTAAGCCAAGGTGCTGCTGCTTTAAAAAAAATTTATTTATTTATATTGGAAAAGCAGATATACAGAGAGAAAGATGTTCGATCTGCTGGTTCACCCCTTACGTGGCTTCGATGGCTGAAGCTGAGCCAATCTGAAGCCAAGAGCCTCGAGCCAGTGACCTCCTCCGAGTCCCACACAGCTGCAGGGTCCTAAAGCTTTGGGCCGTCATTGACTGTTTCCCAGGTCACAGGCAGGGCGCTGGATGGGAAATGGAGCAGCCAGGACCCAAACCGGTGCCCATATGGGATCCCAGCAATTGTAAGGCAAAGACTAACCCAGGGTTGAAGATGGTCCCACAGAATGTTCTGGAACTCAGAAAAGCAAGCCCTTTCCCTCCATAGCCAGAGTGTACAAAGCACGTGAATTCCTGGAACTACAAAATATTAACAGGTGCTGGGTGTCAAAATGATTGAAAAATGCTGGGCTCAAGGTCTCAGCAGGTGTATTTTTCTTTCTTTCTTTTTTAAAGTATTTACTTGAAAGAGTTACAGAGAGAGAGAGATCTTCCATCCTCCGTTAACTCCTCAGATGGTCACAGTGACTGGGGCTGGGCCAGGTGGAAGCCAGGAGCCAGGAGCTTCGGCTAGGTCTCCCACGTGGGTAGCAGGGGCCTAGCACTGGGGCTGCCTTGGGCTACTTCCCCTGCTATCAGCAGGGAGCTGGATTGGCAGTGGAGTAACTGGGGCAAACGCGGTGCCCATATGGGATGCCAGCAGTGACTTTGATCCGCTGCACTCCAGCACCAGCCCCCATTCGGTGCATTCCTCAGCACAGGCACTCCCGGGCTTCTACCACCCCAGCGTAGACTGCGGTGATCCTCATCAGGAGTCCGGTGTTACGGGGTGCTCCCCGCCGCTGTGTCACTCTGGGTGGAGACCTGTCGAAGGCCCAGTGTCATCTGACAGACCGTGGACATCAGCACGCTCTGGCTGCAGCCTCTGTGCTCTGTCCTCGGAGTGAGGGTCCCCCGGAAGTGTCGCAGTCACAGCTCAGCGGCGTAATGCACGCTCCTCCCCTCCCGCATGTGCAGCTTTAGATGAACTGGACACTAGCCCTACACGATGCTGCAAGTAACTCCGCTTCTCTCTTGTCTTCCAGTTCCTTCCTCAGAGGCCGCACTCCGCCCACCCTGCCTGCCTGACTCCCCATGGCACGGTCCTCCACCAGACCCTGGATTTCGATGAGTTCATTCCCCCGCTCCCACCTCCGCCCTACTACCCACCTGAGTACACCTGTACACCCTCGGCCGAGGCCCAGAGGTTGGTGTTTCCCCCAACTGAAGGCCCGGCAGTGGGTGCACAGCGGCAGTGGACCTGCTCCCGTGCAGGGTGCAAGTGGATCAGAACAAAGACGATGGGCTGGCGTTAAGGTCTCTGCAGCATATCCAACAGGAAGATACAGGAAGAGAGTTCTGTTGTGTTCCCATGACAACACAAACCGCCCACACAAATTGGGCAATGCATCTAACTTGTATCACTCCATTCATGATTTCAGTAGCTGTGTGATGGTGTTTCATTGCATGAACACAGCCAGGCCTGCAGGGGGTGCTCATGACCAGTGCTCTGGGTGCTTGGCAGGGAAGTCAGCTGTGGGGGGCACCTTCCTGCAGGGGTGACCATGCCCTGTTTCTGCTTCCGCAGAGGCCTCCACCTGGACTTTGCCCCCTCGGCGTTCAGCACCCTGTACGACGTGGCCATCAACAGCCCCGGCCTGCTGTACCCCGCTGAGCTCCCCCCACCCTACGAGGCTGTGGTGGGCCCCAGCCCTGCCAGCCAGGTAAGACCCAGGCAAGCTCCAAAGCCCCACTCCGGAGTGGGGAGCTGGGGCTAAAGCATGTGCCCGTGCTGCAGCCTTGGTTCTGGTAGAGCAGGCAGACACCTGCAGATTCCCAACCACCTCCACACATCACCAGTTCTTCCCAGCCCCTGACACAGCGCCTATGGTTGCACATCTGAGCTGAGCCTTCAGCTGCCATGCAGGAGGGGCTGGGATGGAGGGACTGGACGGAGCTCCCTGGGTAAGGCAGAATGCATGGCTGTGAGCAGCAAAATCACTTCTGCACCCCGGTCCTATAAGAGGCTGGGATGCTTTAGGCCAGAGAAGTGTCTCAGCTGCCCACACTTGGGGCCTCGCCGAACTGGGGCACAGGACACACTGCAGTCACGCAGGAGACACAGGCTGGGCAGCTGAGGGTGTTGGCTAGAAGAGGGGGAGGTGGTAGCCTTGGGGCCCGAGCATGACTGAGGATGGGAAATAGGCATGACTAAGGGGCCCCAGGGGGGCAATGCCCAGCCTGGCCACAGCCACACCCAGCTGGCCTCTCAGCAGCCATGGGACAGATGTCCCTGCCCATCAGTGGCAACTGTAGGCAGACCAGGCCTCCAAGGAGACCCACACAGAAGCACCTTGTGCCAGCCCAGGGCTGGGGGAAGACATTCCTCCCTGGCCTGGCACACACGTGGTTGACCCGGGCATCATGTTCAGGTGATGCTTGCCTTAGGACTACCCTTCCGCCACCTGCTGCAAGCCTGAGGGGCTGGACAGCCCGTAGCCCTGGGGTCTTGGTCAGTGGCCGCCACCTCTTCCCTCTCTACAGAGGGCACCACAATCGAGCAGGGGTGAGGTGTGTGTGTGAGTTTGAGATCTCAAGCCTGGAGACACATTTAGGTTTTTGTTTCTAAGCTGAGCAGGGGGCACTCCCCTCTCGATGGGGTTCATTCTCTCTGTCCAATGTGGATTGGTCAAGCGTGGCTCACCAGGTGTCACCCTTGGCTGTGATTATAGCTTCCAGCCCTGTAGGGTGCCAGCCCAGTGCACAGCGGGCACTTGTCCAACCATCTTGTTGGTTGCAGAGGGGGAGTGGGATGGCGATGACAGCGCCCCAGCCCCTGCCGCTAGTCTCCGAGAGCCAGATTCCTGAGTGTGGGTGCAGGTGTGAAAGATACAGATGACTGGGACAGCTTGCCCAGGGTCCTTAAGGAGGGTGGTCCTGGAGAGACCCACAGGGCAAGCAGACCTGCAGCCAGTGGGGATCCCAGCATGGCCAGCAGCAGATATGCCTGGGAACCCTGTGCCTCTTCAGGGTGCGGGGCTTTTTAAGGCTGCTGCCGCTGCTGCAAGCCACCTGCTCCCCGCTGGCCTGCGGGAAGCCCCTGGAGTGAGCTCTCTTGCCTCCAGGAGGGAAGTTCGAGGGAATATGTGGTTGTGTGTACACAGCCTTGGAGAACAGCAGGACCAGGAACATGCTGGGAGTGTGTCAGGATTCCCACAGGAATCCTGTGGGCCACCCACGCCCACACCCGCACGGCAGTCATGGTGTGATCAGGGCTGTCCCATCATGTTGCTCTGAAGAGTAACATTTGTCAGGGGACGCCAACACTGGCTCTCAGACTGCTGTGGCATCGTCCTCCACAACCCTGCCCCATCCAGGGTAACTCGGTGCTGCCCTCTGCCTCCCTTGCCATCATGACCGCTGGGCCTGGCAGAGGTACTTCATGTCCCCGTCAGGACAAGTGGCATAGAATGACCAGGGAGTCGTGGTGTGGATGAAGCCTGGAGGATTATTTGGGGGTGGGACAGGGCTGGGGGGCTGCCCTGTGGGATGCCACCCCTGGGGAAGATGCTCCTGGCAGGAAAAAAGGGGGCACTGTGTTGGAGGATGTCCTCCTTGGCCCCTGCACCTGGACACGGGATGGCCACATGCTTGTTCCCGTAGGTCACTGTGTTATGTCTTTCCGACGAGATCACGGGCAGCGAGTGTCATTCCCTGGCATGACTAAGATGTCATGGACAGTTTGGTGGTCCCTCTAGGCATCGGGGTCCACATAGGACTGTGGGTGATGGAACCATGAGTTGGACAGCATCCCTGCCCCCATAGAACTGCCTGTCTGATGGGTAACAGGACAAGAACATAAATATCCTTGGGGCTCTCTGGCTGAGTCAAGGCAAAGAGTGTCAGCTTGGCGGGCACAGTCCAGGCCGAGGCCCAGAGCTGGGCAGGTGGGAGCCTGGCTGAGTGCTCCAGGTGCCTGAAGGGGGTGTTGCTGACACAGGCCAGCTGCACAGTGCGTGGCCACAGTGGGTGTCGGTCTGTGGGATGCTGGTGCCCAGTGCTGGGTGAGGGAGACCTGTCCTAGTGGTTCTTCGGCTATTGCGGATTCAGCAGCAGCGTGAAGATGGACAAGGCTGGACATCCTGGGGAGGGGACCCCTGGATGTGCAGAGGTCACGGGAAGCGACCTGGTGTTTTTAAAATGTAGTCAAACTGTCTTTGGTAATTGCCTGGAGATATTTTCTGTGACTGCTGAGGAGCGGGTAAGTCTGGTACCTGAGGGTTGCCAACGCTGACCTGGCACAGTGGGGCAGAGTCCCTTCAGGGTAACACCATGGAGGAAACGTGACTTCCTTGCCCAGATGCCAGTCCCTTTCCCAGGGATGGCTCAGGAGGCACAGCTGAGCAGTCCCTGGCTGCTGACTCTGGGGTGGCCCAGGGCCACATAGGGGACCTTCCAGCAGCCCTCCTACCTCCCTCCTTCAGGGGGCGCTGACGAGCCTGGAGCGCCAGTTCACCTTACACTGAACAGAGACTGGGCTGAGCAGCTTTGCGCCCCCTGGGGCTTCTGACCTGGGAGAAGCCCAAGTACGCGCCCCACCCGTCAAACCCCGTGGCTCACAGAGCTGTCCTGGAAACCTGGCTGGAACCTAAATGACAGAAGGCCACGCGGGAGGGAGGCTTGGGCAGAAAGTGACACACGTTCCATTTCCCACTGACCCCACCCTCCACGTGGTTTTATTTCTCCTGATTTCTTCATTACCAGAAGCTTCTTTTCAGACAGCAGGTTTATAAGTAACCACCCAGTAGCCGACACACACACACATACACACATACATCAGTCATCATCATCATCAACAGACCTGCAGCTTCTGGATGAGGAACTCTCCAAGTGCTTACTGTACATGCTGATGCTGATGACAGCAGTTTCAGGGCCCCTCCCCACAGCAGGTTACACTCCACAGGCACGGAGGAAGGGTCCTAGGCGAGTGTAGACAGCGTGGGGTCTCTGTTCTTGGGGGGCGGGAAAGCTGCAGCTCTAGTCCCTTTCTCGAGCTAGCCTGGTTTGAAGGGAGGCCAGGGTAGGACATTGAGGCATTGATGGAAGTGACCAGAGACTGGCAGGCAAAGGAGGCAGAAACGTAATTCCACCGACAACCCGCATGGGCTGCCATGGCTTCCCTAGCCAGTCCCAGAGCTTGTTACTGGCAAACCAATTCGCAGAGCCAATAAGAAAGAATACAGAATTCAGATAATAGAGTTTTCTTTTCTTTCTTTTTTTTTTTTTAGCTCACATCAGGGTGCATGGTGGTGATAGTGTTGTGACCAGATGACAGAGCTTGTCATGTTGGAGCCCCAGGGGCCAGCGAGGGGCCACAGTGCCCTAGGACAGGGGTGGGTCGGCCATGCCTGCATGCTGGGAGCACACAGGGCAAGACAAGGGCAAGGAGGGTGGCTTTCCCAGGGGCCATTGCCGCTGCCATGGGAGCACACTCCAGAAGCAGCCGCCAAAGGCCCCTGACTGCCCGGCCAGGACAAGATGGGCCCCAGCTCAGCATCCCCTCTGCCAGAGACAAAAGGGAGGGTCCAGGGGCATCTGTGAGCTTGCTCGAATGGGCATCAGTCATTAAACATCCCATCTCTGTCCCAACTGAGCTGGCACCATTCACGGGGTGTCTCATGGCCATATGCCTCACCCCTGGGACAGGGGAGCCAGGAAGAGAGTGGGTGAGTGAAAGAAGGGGCCTGGGCGTGAGGAGGGGGCTGGGGACACCAACAGTGCCTGGAAGTGGAGGTGGGCAGGCACGGGCTGGTGCCATGGCCTTGGAAGGTGTTCCAGTTGTGAAAGGTCAGAAGTGGCTTTGTCAAAGGCAACTTCCACACCCCTCCCTGACAAGTGAAGACAGTAATTGCCGATCACTGTGTCCTCACTGGAGGGCTGCCCAAGCCACCCAGGAACGTCTACTCTGATGCTGTGTGCCTTCCCCTGTAGGTGTCGAGCCTCGATCACCACGTGGCTGGGGCTAGTTCCGGGGAGTCCAGCGTCACTGCCGGCTTCAGCACGCCAGGTGAGCTGCCCTGGCCAGGGTGGGAAGCCATGGGCTTGGGTCTTCCCACGATGTGGCTCTTCTTCATTTGCTGGGTAGACAGAGTCCCAGGCTCAGGGAGGCAGTGTGAAGGGTCACAGGGTAGGAGCCTTGGCTGGTATCAGGAAAGCAGGTGATGGCCCAAGGAGTGAAGATTGGGCAGGATCTACCCTGGGCAGTGGCCAGGGAGCAGCCGCGATGGGGACCCTGCAGGCTCCAGTGGCCTGCTTATTTGGAGCTCAGTTCACATCACCAGTGAGGTCCTCACATGGACCAGGAGTCAGGGCAAGGTTCTTTGTCCTCTGTCCCCTCTGTCCCCAGGCTGGGCCAGTGTTTCAAGAGAGGCAGCTTGTGGGCTTCAGAAGCAACCTCAGGGCCCGATGGCCAGAAGTGGAATCTGGGTACCTCCCAGGTGCCCCCTCACTGGGTACCCATGACCTTGTCCTTCCCTTACTGTGCCATGTGACAACCACATGCTGCACGTGCTTGCAGGGACAGAGGTGCCATGTGCCCCAGGAGTCCCTGGCTGTGCACTGTCAGAACAGGTGGAGATTCAGGGTATGGGGGTCGCCGTTGAGCAGGGCCAGGTCCTGCTCACTACCCAGGCCTCTGGCAGCCAAACCCATAGCTTAAGCCAGAGGCACAGGGCTGCTTCAAAGCCAGACTCTAGGCGTGTGATGCCCAGGCTGAGAGGGCATAACTGAAGGAGACTTCTGGGACAGCAGGCCAAGCAGGTGCAGTGCAGAAAGGTGGCCTCCCACAGGGTGGTTTGTAAGGGTGAGGTGGTCAGGTTCATTGTGTTGCTTGTCTGTCCATGGGCTTGAGGCCCTGGGCTGCCCGTGTCTTTGTCCAAATTTGGTTGAACCTGATTGTGTGCATTTATTTGTGGTTCTCTACTCTGTCCCCCTGGATGCCTGCAGCTGCCCCTCTGCCGGGCCACACGCTGTCCTGATGGAGCAGCCCTGGGGGAAGCCCGAACACCCGGGAGAATGTCCCCCGCTCTGTTCTTGCCTTTGCCGAGAATGTTCTCAGCTGTCCCAGGGCCCAAGCCTTTCCATTTTTAGAATTGACTCATCTCTGTCTTCTGAACCCCTTGATTGGAATTGGAGAAGCACCATGCTAATGCCACAGACAGGCAGAAAATTCACCTATTTCACTCTGCTAGACCTTTAAAGGCCAGAACGGAGTGCAGTGGGCTCCTCCCCCAGGGTTCTGCCTGCCACGCCATCAGCTATGCTGCAGAGATACTGGAAAATTCTAGAAGTCAACAATGCATAAATTTTAAATAGTCTCTCCACCCTGTCCTGCCTAGCATGTGACCCATGCCCTCTGTTGCTGATCCAGCTCCCTGTTCTTGTGCCTGGGAAGGCAGTGGGTAATAAGCCAAGTATTTGAGTTCCTGCCACCCACCGGGGAGACCCGGATGGAATTCCAGCTCCTTGGCTTCACTTGGCCCAACCCCACTTCTTGTAGCTATCTGAGGCATGAACCAGTGGGTGAAAGATTGCCATTCACAGAAGGAACAGACTCCAGAGTCTGTCCCCCTGGAGGGGTTGGACCGCACTGATTTAGTGTCACCCCACAGGCCACATCCTGGACTGTGTCCACCCCACACCTGGAGGGAGCTCATGGGAGCCCAGTCATTTGCGAAGAGCATGGGGCACAGTGCCACTGAAGCCTTCACGGACACACAGGGACCCTGGGATGCTAGTCCTGGGGGGGGCGTGGGGCCGACCTTGGAGTTTGCATTTCTGATTGGTAGAGCCAGGTGAGGCTCTTCATGCCAGCCTGGGGCCCCAAGTTAGAGACCAAAGACAATGGGTTGGGTCCAGGACAGCACTCCAGGTGCTAGGGGCGGAGGGGTGCAGCAGGAGTGCCTCAGGCACCACAAAACTTATCCAGGTTTGTGAAGGGAAGGGGCTTTACCCACATCTGGGTGCCCATGGCCAACAGCCCTAATGCTGTGCCCTTTCTCTTGCAGCACCAGCCACCAGCGTGAACCTTCCAGCATCAGAGGATGGCCCTGGACCGGCTCCAAGCCACCCTTCCCCTGAAGGTCCCCTGGGCACTCTGCTGTCCCCGCCTCCGACCCCGCCCCTCCATCATGTGCCCCAGGAGACTCCAGTGCCAGGAACCTGGATGTTGTCAGGCCCTAATCACCTGGCCCGCTCCACCAGTGAACCCACCTCATGTGTGTCCCGTTTGGCAGGTATGGTGTTACCCCCTCCCCGGGGGTGTCTGCAGGTCTCAGTGACCCCAGAGTGAAGCCGCCCTAGGGACAGGGCCTTGATGTCTAAGCCCTTCGTGCCAGGTGCCATGCTCCCAGTGGAATGGAGAGGAGGGTGATCAGAGTTTGCCCACTGGGTGGTCAGCTAGCCACGCCCCCCCCAAGCAAGTACTGTAAGTGCCACATTCCTGGGCCAGAGCCCGGAAGGGCTGAGGTCAAGCCCAGGAGACATCTAGGAAGGTTGGGCCAGTCACTGGCTACAGCCTGGGGCACCCGCAGTTCTGTTCAGTAGTACTCCATGGAACCCTGGCAGTGTTCTGGGCCTATGGGAATGGCAGTGCCCAAGCCTGGATGTAGGACCTGGCACCAGCATGCCAAGAATATGCATTTCATAGCAGCTTCCCTAAGAGGCTGTGCAGCCCTGGCCTTCAGGAACTTGGCCCCAGCCTTGTGCTGCCAGTGGAGATTGCCAGCCCTAGCTGGTGATGCCATCCTAGGAGATGCCTGGGCCAGTCTTCCCCAGTGGGCTTCCCCATGGAACCCCAGTTACTTAGACCACAGTGGGGCCTGCCAGGGCAGAAGGAAGTTCCTGAGGGAGGGGGGAGTATAGAGCAGTGCAACGAGTTGCCAAGCAGTGCGCTCCTAACAGAGACAGCATCCCATGGTGCACCTGCCAGCTGGTTACGTCTGCCGACTCACTCTTGCTGACCCCTTCAGAGCATCTCTGGCCTGTGAGGGCCAGCACAGGTCTGCCACATCCACGTTCACACCTGAGGTCACTGGGAGCTGTTCAGGGCTCAGCTTTATGCCTTCCCTCCCCGCATATCCACATGGCTCCCGAGTGACACAAGCAGAGAGAGGAGGCCTCTGGCCTATCTCCTGCCCCCCGAAGGTAACAGTAGCAGGTTCAGCTGCACATGGTTGGCTAGATCCCGGGGTCCCCAGAGCACCCCAGATGTGGATATGGGTTCAGATGCTGGGGCTGGGGCAGCTTCCCCCTGCGCGCCTGCGTGTGTCAGCCACCAGCTAGCCCACTGGTAACCAAATTCATTTTGGTTCAGGGGATGCCTCTTCACACACACCCTCGTGCAGCCAGGACCTTGAAGCAGGACTGTCTCGGGCTGCTCCGGGGACTGGTGAGCTACCCCTTGTCAAATCAAGGGCCCCCCGCATGCCTGTGCTGAAATGGGAGTGGGGTCGGCACTCGAGAGGCCTCTACCCCTCACCACAGTTCCCCCTCACACGTGAGCATCCAAAGCTCCCACAATGGACCCAGAGCATGTTTGTCCTATGGAACTCAGGTTGCACACATTGGGCCCAAGTGCACCTGCAGCTCACCGTCCGGGGGTAGAGGGCAGCTCAGCCCTGGGACTGTGGAACTCAAGCACCATTTCCCCAGCCCCAGCAGGTGTGGGCAGTGGGGTGGGGCCCTGGGTGGCAGTGTCTCATTCCACCCCACCTCTGCCATCCCCAGCTCTACCCCAAGGGCAGACTGGTGGCCACTGTGCTGTCCCACGGGTGACCAGGGCCACAGGACAAAGGTGACTCCTGCCCTGAGGCCAGAAGCCCCCAGGTTCCCACTCTGTCCCTGCCCTCTGCTCAGGGCTGGGAGGAGCCATGGGCAGCAGGGACACACTCAGCTTAAGCAGCAGCCCAGAACTGCAGGTCACCTGGGAGGACGTTTGCCTTTAATGGTGTTTATTGCATTTTAAGGAACTTGCTTCCTGACAGCTCTTCATTTTGCCTCTGTTTTCAAATCGTACTTTCTCACCTTGATTTTTTCAGTTTCCACATCTCGCTCTGCCACAGCCCCCCGCCAGCGACAACAGTCACCCCTTGGGGACTCCAGCACCTGCCATGCTGGCCTGCAGCTGAAGCCAGGGGCCTTAGAGACGGTCTCCAAGGAGCGGCCATACTGCTTAGCAGACAGCAAGTCCTACGCAGATACCAGTAAGGTCTTGGTGGCGAAGTTTCTGGAACATTCTCACTGTGCCCTTCCCCCCGAGGTGCGGCACGTGGTGGGCACCCTCCGCGTGGCGGTCACCTCCGAGGAGCGCCCTGTGGAGGAAGCCATTGTTAATGCTGGTGTCCTGGAGCAGCCATGACTGTGACACTGGGTGACTGGCCGTGCTGGGCAGAGGAGAGATGGGGGATACATCCAGGAAGTGTCCTGGGGGTCCCTGCTCCAAGTGGATGTAGTCCCTCGTGGGTTTTGGGGATGCTGCGTCCCATGTGTCATGGTTAAGCCAAGTGGTGGTCTCGTGCGTCCACGGTGAACCCCCTAGTTCCATGGGGGCACTGTAGCAGCTGGAACTGGCCGGCATCTTGAGGATACAGTGCTGGGGCACTCATGTTGACTTAAAGACAGCAAGCACCTTCCAAATTGGGGTTGTTGTAAGCGGCAGGCTAGGTGTGTGTCCCGACCCAACCTTGTTTGTGTAGTGGACAGAGAACATGTGGTCCCAGAAACCAACCTGCCTCTCAGCCCTGGGCCCACTGCTTTGAAAGGGAAATAGGTTACTCCAGTACAGATGCCAGCCTGGGCCCTGCTGTTTGTCCAGAAGGCTGTGGACACACTCACTCTGAGGGACTGTGCCAGGCTGGGCCACCCTGGGGAGCAGGCAGGTGCCCCAAGAGCGCCTCCTCTCCTTGCCTCTGTATGTCCCCGCCCTGGCCAGGCCTGCCTTTCCCCCAACTTGTCGTTGCTGGCCAGAGGGTTGGGAGCTGGAAGAAAGACACTGACCAAGTTATGACAGCCGTGCTCTTACTGCAAGAGCCTCCCCAGAGGTGGCTGAGCCCTCATGAAACAGCATGGATCTCTCAAATGTTTTTGAGGCAAGGCTTGTTGACATTACACGAGCAAGTCTCCCTGGAGGAGGAACCAACTGCTGGTTTTCCAGAATAGCACAGTGTGCCCATGGGCTGTCCGGCCTGGGAACCAGGCCACTCCAGTCCCCAGTGACAAGGTGGGGTGAGCCCCCGTACACAAGCCCAGCAGGGGTCTGACTCCTGGGAAAGGGCCATACTCCTGGGCCCAGCCATGTCCCGGGTCACACCTAAGCTGGGCTATACCTGGCTGGCTTCTTGGTAACACAGGACCCGAACCCTAAGGACTTTGCAGTGTATGGTTGGGGAAATGATGGAGGTGGTAGTGGGGTGGGCAGCGAATAAGCCAGCCTGGTGCTCAGTGTCCTCTGGGCCATATGGGCTCCACCTGGCTGATGCCTTCTGTAGGCTCTGGCCTGGGTTCTTCAACCCATCCCCATAGGCTCAGCCAGCCACACACTGAGTTCTGAGTTTGCTTGCACAGCAGTTCTGTGTTGTGGATGCAGAAACTACCCAACTCTGTGTTCTTGGGCTAGAATGGTCTACTTCCAGAGATGAGGCTGGGAAGGGTGGATGGCCCTCCTTGGCCACCTACTCAGGGTCCCAGGTGGGCGCTACAGGAAGCTCCGGGCTTGAGAAGGAATCCCTGGCAAACAGTTGCAGGTCAGAGTTGCCAGGGTAGGTGTGGACTCCTGGCCCAGGGGCTAGCTCGTTTCCTCCCCCAACCAGCGTGCAGCTGCCAGGACACCCCGGGGCCTTGAGGATGGCCAGCCAGGCCCATTCGGGACCCCAGGTCTAAGGCCAGCAGGATGGCAAGGAGGGGAGCACCATTCATGAGGACTGATACTATCAAACTGAGTACTGGGGGCACAGCTGTCTGACAGCTGGCAGCTATTGCTTTCCCCCTGCACAGGGTCGGGGGTCACCAGCTGCCACCAGGACGATGTACAGGAAACTCTTGGGCCCCAGGGACTGTTGATAACAACTGCCGAGGTTGTATTCCCATCCTTGTACCTCAAGATGTTTTAATAACAATCAGTGTTTTAATAAAAAGTATTTCTGGCCTCTGTGTCTCGGAAGTCGAACTGGGTGTGAGGCAAGCTGAGTGCTTGCATGGAGGGTCCTGAACCAGATGGGCATGGAGGCAGCAGAGGTCCCCTGGGGAGTGGGAGGGCAGGTGTGAACCATGCTAACCCAAAGCCAGACCCCATGGATGTGACACCAAGGGCTTTCTGGTACAGCTGTCACTTGGGATGCCTGTGAGAACATCTGGGTGGGAGTCCTGCCTCCCGGAAGGCAGCAGGGCAAGGCTCAAGTACTCAGGTGCCCGGCGCCCACATGGGCAACTCGGAGGGAACTCATGGTTTGGGCTCGGTCTGGCCCTGGCTGTTGTAGGGGCATTTGGGAGTCCTGTCACCTGCTATCCCTGGGTGGCCCCTCAGCCTGGCCTGGGCACTGAGCAAATTCTCCCTGTGGCTTTCTGGGCCAAGGCCAGGGTCACTCTGTCCCCAGGTAAGTGGGCCATTTCTGGAGAACAGCTTTTGTTTCTTAAGAGGTAAAGAATTGTGTCCTGCTCTCAGTTCCTCGGCAGAGAGGGAGGGCCCCTCTGTGCTGCCCCCTCGGATAGCATCTCCTGTTAGATGTTTCTCTCTGTACCTGCTGTCCACTGGGCACCCTCTCTGGGAAAAAGAAGGTCTTGGAGCTACAGCTCACTTTGCAAGACTGATCGATCCGGCGGCCAGGAAAATGTGTACATTCTGACAACTTCACACCCCGAAGGAGCTCCCTAGGCCATCTGCAAGCTTGCCGCATGCTCCTGCGGGAAGGCCAAGGTGGGGAGCGGTACTGCTTGGCCTGCCCGAGGTTCTCTGGGCTGCAAACCCTCCTTTCACATCTACTGGCTAAAGCTTATGCTAACCTCCTGCCACCCCCAGCCCCTGGTGATACGAGAATCTGAAGAAAGGCCCCAGAGACTCAGTGTGGGGGCTGCGGCAGGTGGCGCGAGGTCTGGTTCCCACCATGCCCATCACCCACACTCACGCACCTCTTCCGGAGCTGCAGTTCCTGAAGTTTCCATCTGCAGACTGGCTGTCCCCGCTCAGTGAGCCCGAGCAACTGCATTGGGTCTCCAGGGCAGGTGGAGGAAAGGGTGTGAGGGGAGGGCTGGCCCCGTGACCCGTCGCCATCACCAACACCCGGTGACCTTACTGGGTGAAGGATCTCTCTTACCTCCCACCAGCGGACTGGAGCATGACAGTGCCGGGATGGCTGGGCGTCGCTGTGAACAAATCAGCCACACGGAGTGCTTTGCATCATGACTGAGTTTATTAGCGACACGCGCCAAGTCGTCTAGGGTCAGCTGCATGCAACACACAGGTTACTCCTTGAATACAGTAATCCTGAAGCGCGAGTTACTGTGTGGTAAGGCTTATTAAGTCACAGTGTGTTCTTCACGGCCTGGGCCAAAGGAAAAAAAAAAACAAAAAAAGGAGAGACTTCCAGACAAAAAAAAAGATATGAAACACTGGGATCTATGTTGCTGAACTATAGGACGGGACCTTGATCTACTCGCTCTGACACTGCTCACACCGTGGGGAGCGGGGCACCTCGTTGGCCAGGGCACCGCACTCAGCTGCTACCGCAGGACCCACAGAGGAAGAGTTCTGTTGTGTGCAAGGGCAGCGGGTGTGTGTGGACGTGTGTGTCCATTCTACCCAGGTGGCAGATCCTGCTCCCAGTGCCCTTGCTCCCACCTGGCATGGAGGCCAGCGTGGAGAAGCAGCCGGGAAATTCAAGACATCAGATAAATTCTCAGGAGACTCCCAGCAGGTGAGGACTGGAGGGGAGCAGGTGCGGTCCTGGGGTCACTGGAAAAAAAACCCTCAAGTCCAAAGAGAAAGGATGGCCGCAACTCGGGTCCAAGGGGTGGTCGTTTCTAAATAAATATTGGAGTTGTGAGGCGGTGGTCATCGTCCTTTATTTAACCCAGGAACCTCTCCCTTGTCAGGAAATACATCAATCACATATCTCCCCAATGGACGGAACAAGCTACGTCCTGGGAGCCGGGCCGCCCGTGAGCAGCCACTGAGCCAGCCAGGCCCCCTTCCCAGGAGACCACGTGGGAGGGCACCCCAGTTTGCTCTCCAGTTTCAGGAAGGACGGACACACAGTTACCCACACGCAGGTCAGAGGCCCTTGTCAGGCACAACAAGCAAAAGGTTCAGAACGTGGCGCAACACGGGGAAGTTTTACCAAGGTTTCTTCCTTCTCCGAAGATCAAGACATACCCCTTTTGGCAGGACAGGAGAAAGGTGGATGGTGAGGGCATGCCCTTCGGGGGAGTCTGTGTCCTTGGCCAGGCTGGGGACTCGGGGGTTCAGGTCCTGCTTTGCCCCAGGTCGGGGAGTGGGGACGGGGAGGCTGTGGACTCCCCTGGTCCCAGGTGTCCCGGCTGTGCAGTGCCACAGGCTGGTGGGCCTAGATGTACAGCGGGGTCTCCTGGCCCGTAAGGAGCCTGAACATGGCAGCAGGCATGGTCTTCATGTGGATCTGCAGAGATGGGGGGGAAGGTGGCTGAGCCAACCGGAGGGACTGCCCAGCATGCACCCGCTGCGTGAAGTACCCATGTTTGGGTGTGCAAACCAGAGCAGGAGCTGGGTGACAGCATGGCATGTATTGCCCAGACAGTGACTTTGCTCACCCCACTAGGGCCACAGAGCCCCCTCGCTACACAGTGGAGAGGAGGGGACCCAGAGGAAGACAGCCCTCACGCTTCTTACAAACTACAAGGGGCCAGAGTCCCAGGACTGAGCCACTGAGAGGTAAGCACATCAAGATGCTGCCCTCCCTGGCTCCAAAGGGGCCTGGGCAAACCAGCAAGCAGACCCTTCCCCAGGGGTGGGTCTCCTGGTGGCAGTGGAGAGGGCAGCTCTCAGCTCCAGTCTGGCCAGCACCACCCTGCAGGCTCACCTGGGCCCAGTGTCTCTTGCCATGACCTTGGTCCTGAGGGAGATGCAAGCATGGGCAGGGAAGGGGCGCTCTCACCTCCCTGACCTCCACTTGGGAACACTGGTTATGTTTTTCTAGGAGGCCATTTGTAAAAGGAAGCTAATGGAATCCCACCATCTCCTGCCCCAGACTTGGCAGCTTCCTGAAGGGGCAGGCTGGCCTGGGGGACGGGATCCGAGAGCTGCCATCTGGGATCCTGGCAAATGAGCAGCCACACCCCTGCCTTCCACCTGTGAGGCTACAGAGATGGGTCCTTCCCCCATACACACACCTCCCACACACTGACACGCAGCCCCAAACACCCCAACACAACCCTGCACACATCCAACACCATACACTCTGAAACTACCTCACGCACACACTACACACCCCAACACTCACCTAATACAGATACCACACACACCCCATACACTCACTGCCAAATAACTCTATGCCTAACACACATCCTACAAACGTCCCACTCTAAAACATGCCCCAAATACCCTACACATACTTCAACACAATCCTACACAAAACCCAATCCACACTGCTCCAACACACACACACCCTGAAACACACACCTCAAGACACCCTACATATACGGAAACATTCATGGATATACACTCTGCAACACCCCAGCACACCCCAAGACCCTAAACACTCTTCCCCAAACGCCCTATACACCTTGAAACTGGGATCTGTGTTGCCCCAGCACATACCCAACACACATCCCCCAACTCTATATAGTCTCCAACACACCCTACACACACCTAACACCCTGACACACAAGTCCCAACACGTATCCTACACAAACCTGATGCCCAACACCTGCTACATATGGCCCAACACACCTGGCATACGTGCCAACACACCTTACAACAGTTGACACCCCCCCACACACCGTACACACATCACAGTACTCCCGTATCACATCTTACACAGACACCAACTCACACATCAGCCCTTATCAAACCCACAGCGCCATCGTCACACAGGCATTTACCTGCACCCATGCTCACTGCCACAGACACGCTCATACACCCACATTCACACACATCCGTAGACCCTCACACACGTACCCACACACGTGCACACCCACCACACACGGGCAAGGCTGCCTCCCAGTGCTCTGTGCTGAGTCATCTTCCTCCACCCTCAAACCACAGAGCGCTAGCCTGGGGGAGGTGAGAAGCCAGGGATGCCCAAGCAGCCTGGCTCCAGGCAGGAAGACCTGGGTGGGTGGGGCAAAAGGCTGAATCCACTGCATGGTGGCTGGTGCCGTGTGCCTGGACAGGGCTGGTCTTGTGGGGGGCAGGCTGCATCTGGTTCTAGAAGAGGGATGCAAGAGGCGCCACCCATGGCCTGCTGTGCACGGAGAGGCAGGCTCCCCTGCAATAGGACAGCCCAGCATAGCACTACCTGCCAGCCTGTACACCTTAGTCACAGGCACTCCTGGATCAACCAGAGCTTGGCTGATGCCCCTTCTGGTGCCCCCAGAGATCAGGGTGTGGAGGAACCAGGAAAAGGTACGTCCAAGGTCCCACAGCAGACATGGATTCTGCTGAGGAGGGTGGCCTGCCCCACAGCGGGAGAGCCTGCTCACCAAGGCAGCATAGGAACCAGCCCGGACCCAGGCCAAGCAAGGGCACCAGTGTCATCTTACCTCTCCCACTGAGTTGGACAGAGCTTGCACGATCTTCTCGTGGGCCGTAGCCACCACGCTCTGCCCATTGATCTCGATGATGCGGTGGCCCACTCGGACGCCGCCTCGCTCTGCGATGCCCCCTCGCATGAGGCTGCAGATCTAAGCACACACAGGCTGGTCAGCCTGCAGATGCCCGCCATGTGGACGTGCGCACCCACATGGGATCTGCTACCAAACCCCTGGCCCCCATTCCCAGCCATCCAGGAGGCAGCCTCTGCTTCAAGGTGTCTGTGGAACTGGGGGACGGTCACGTGCACAGCGAATGCAGGTGCTGGATGCCTCTCTGACAGCTGCACCCTACTCCTTATCAGGGGAGAGGGCAGCAGCAGAAGCAGAGGTACCACAGGAGGACACGCATGCCTGCAAGCCCCAGCTGCAGCCTGCGGGGGGAGGTGGGCCCAGGGGTGGAACAGAAGAGATGCAGGCGGGTCAGGTGAGTTTTACCTTGATGTAAGCACCACAGGCTGTTGCAAGCCAGGCCCCCATGTGTGGGGATCCCAGGGCAGTGCCCACAGCCTGGCTCTCCCCATAGGGTCCCTCCCTTCCTGGGACTAGATGTTACAATCCTGGCAGCAGAGCCCAGCTCCCATGCACAAGTCGCTGCTGTCCAGAGAGGAATAACGAAGACTAGGAGAGACGTGGCCACCTTGGGTCACCTGCTGACCAGGTACGCTACATGTGCCTGAGCCTGCAGTGGCATCTTCCCCTGTCCCCTGTCACCTAGGGGACTTTATGACAAAGGTCACTGGCTCTTGGCAGATGCAAGGGAAGGTGCAAGTGGCTGGCTTGGACATTGCTGGTGGCTGCCGTCTTGGAGAGGCCACCACAGTGATGATAATGACAACAATAGGAAAGCAAGGGAAGAAGGCCAAAGGGGGTCTGCCGAGGGGATTCAGGAAGGATGAGTCCACACCCTGGCTCACAAATGGCTGGAATCTGGGCCAGGTGAGCGAAGGGTTCATGCACACACAGGCGATCTGCCAAGTGCAGGCTGGCCTGGGCGCCACTGCTTCTAACTTGACCAAGTACATTATATGGGCAGGAAGCTGGTAGCTTCAAGCTGCAGGTTTCTTGGAGAGAAGGGTTAGATTTAGAAATAACTTTAATTAGGTCATTTGGGGCCCATGTGCAAACAAACACATTGTTCTCAGAGTGTAATGAAGCTGAAAATGGGAAAGGCGCTTATGCAAAACCAGCTCCAAGGGAGAGAGATGCAGGCAGACTCCTCCAGGAGACTCGGGGGAGCCAAGGCTGTCTGGTACAGTGGGGTGGGGACAGGGGGTACATAGGGCCAGGACTGGAGCCCCATTCCCTGCCCCAGGAGCATCTGAACCATATTTCCCAGCAACGGCAGGTGGCACCATGGCCTGGGAAGAGGCACCTGTTCAACACACAGAAACACACATACTACATTGTATGCAAATAACTGTCGGGAGGGCCTGCCTGCCCTGCCTCCCTGCCTGCCTGCCCTGCCTCCCTGCCTCCCTGCCTCCCTCCCTCACCTGGACTCTCCCACACAGCCCTCTGACCATGAAGCCTGGACCAGGCCCAGGCTCACCCACAGGAGTTCACAGCAGCTGCAGACTGACCCAGCCTTCCTTAGCCAGCTGGGGTGGCTGCCACTCATGCCCAGGTGGGTGTGTCGAGTGGCTGACCAGCTGGCTCCTGGGGCAGGTGCACTGACCCAGAGAGAAGTCGCCAAGCAAAATGCAACCCTCCTGTGTGGGTCCAGGGGCCAGGAAGCCTTCCTCAGGGAAGAGCTCTGGGATAGGAGGGCCTCGCAGTGCATCTTGGTAAGCTTTGAGAGAGTTCTCAGTCTCCATGAGCACCTCAGGAGGGGACCCTGGAGAGGTGACCTGCCCAGCAGCATGCTCCCCTGGGTGCAGCTGACAGCTGCTCTGAGCCCCAGCCCCTTCCCTAGCCTCTCCGGTCCATGAGGTTGGGCTGGTGGAATATGGGTGGAAATGGCCAGGCTGCTGCTCGCCTGGCCCTGGAAGTCTCCACCAGGCCTGTCTGTGTCTTCTTTTAGCTGCCAGCCACCCCAGAACATCCTGGGCACCTGGTGTGGGCAGCAGTGTCCCTGTTGGCCTGCATCTCATGGAGACCCAAACCCCACACCCCAAAGTGTGGGCAAGATTGGTTCTAGTCGCCAACTGGCCTGCTCAGACAGACCAAACAGTAGGGTGCCTTGAGTCTAAGCCCATCCGGTGCCAGAGCAGGGGTCCTGCCTCCATGCAGCCGTCTTTTCTGGAATGTTCTCCCCTTATTTGTCCTCTGTGGGTATGGGTGAGCACACAGCTCACCAAGCCCCATGTGCACTCAGTTACTGGACACTCGGCAGGCTGACACACCTGCGGTACTGCTGGCCCTTATCTTACACATTGCACTGCACAGCTACATCACTGTCCACCGGGGCCTCCCCAGGACGAAAGCCCAAGAAAACCGAGCTTGTGCTGGCCACGGAGGGTCACAAAGTGAGACCCCCTGAGCTGAGCCTCTTGGGCCTGAGAGATTTTTGGCTAGATGAATGCTCACTCAATTCCTGCATCACCTCCTCCTGGCTCCTTAGTACTTGCTAAATAATCCAAAATCCTGCTGAATGGCTAAGGAAGTGAAGGAACGAGCGGATGACCGAACCAACGCGTGCCCTCTGCATTCAGCACAGTGAGTCTGTTGGCTGGCCTGGGTGTGAGCATGCAAGCTACAGCGGCCATAGCCCTCACCCCCACAGCAGCTGCTTGCCACAAACAGTCCCACTGGGACAGGGTGGGTGGGTGGTAGAAACCACAGCCACACTTCTGCCTGGAAACCAGCAAAGTCCCCTGCCACCAAGGCCCAGGTGCCGCTGCCCCCAGCCTGCTGTGCCCTGGCCCTGCAGGAGGAAGGGGCGGAGGGACTCACAATGCCATTCTGCACGCTGAAGCCCAGCTGGTACTTGAGGTCCGGCCGCTTGATGAGGACCGTGGTCACCGGTGGGCAGCTGACGATATTGAGCTTCACCTGCATCTGGTTCTTCAGGCCCTGCAGGGCATGGGGCGGGGGTTCAGGGCTGCAGAGGGCGCCCCCCCTCCCCACGCCCCCCCGGACTTCACAGGGCACCCAGGACACACGTGCTGTGTCTCAGTTCCAGGCGGGAGCTCACTGCCCTGGGACCAGCAGCAGCCAGGCTCCAGGAAGCCGACATCCGCCTGGAGGTGCTGCCCCAGGTGCAGGTGGGGTGAGGGGGTGGGCGTGAAGGCAGACCCTGCCCCACTCTCAGGGCAGCCAGCTCAGCGAGCCTGAGCAGTCAGGACTTGGGGCTCCAGGGAGGATGTGGGGGCACAGACATCACAGGGGCATCCACAAAGAGGCAGTCTGGGGCTGCTTCCTCAGACTGAAGCTCCTTGGCTACACCTGCTTCGTGTTCTCTGCCTGATGCCAGCCAGGGACAGGCAGCTCAGCCCCCACAGGCCCAGTTGGGCAGGGCAGACCCCTCCTCACCCCCAGGACAGCCAGGATCAGCGGCATGACACAATGTGGCTCAACTAGGGCAGCCATAAGGCAGGTGGGTATTTACGGGTGTTGCTCCCCCTCGTGGGTGGGTGAGATGAGGTGAGGCTGGGGAGACCTCAGGACAGAGGGTCCCCAGGTGCCTACCTTGATGATGCCCTGGCAGGTGGCCAGAGGCAGCCCCACCAGGCTGGTGCCATTGATGGACATGATCTGGTCTCCGATGCTCAGCTTGCCAGAGCGGGCAGCTGGGCCACCATTCATCATGTTGGCTAGGATCACCGTGGGCAGGATGGAGCCCCAGCCTGACTCGACGACCACCACGCCCAGGATCTCACCTTTGTGCTTCTCCAGTTGCAGCTGTGGGCAGGCAGCAGCAGCTTGCCAATCATCCTGGCCCCAGGCAGGGCCCCCGAAGTCTCAGCCCCATTCTCAGGGAGACCCCAGGACTCATTTGCGTCATCACCCCCTACCCAGTCTCGGTGGTCACTGCCAGGACCATTCACTTATCTGGTCACTGTTACACAGTGAACACCCAGTGTCACCCACTCAGGGGGACACCCAGGAGCAGTCACACTGCGGCTGACAGGTGCTATACTCATTCATCAGGCAGACAGATGCAGTCCACACCCATGGCATTTGCTTTTGTATTCTAGAACCTTCCAGAGCCTTCCCCACCCCCGGGGGAGGGGGGAGCCTCGCCACCTGGGGAAGCCAGGGAGAGGCATCCGTGGGGTGCTCAACAACAGCCCTGGAAGGAACTCTGCAAGGTTACAGACCTGGACTATCAGCTGCTTCTCGGCCGCCAACTCTCGGTGCCCACACAAGTGCCCAGCCCAAGACAGGAGCAGCAAGGTGTGCACACAGGGCTGAACTTGAGACCTGACGTGAGAGCCAGGATATGTGCGAGGACCCCATGAAGGCCAGCTCCCAAGTCCTCACCCAGTGTGGGGGATGAAGCCCTGGGCACCGTCCGGCTCAGCCCGTGGCTGGGGCCGGAGGTGCAGTCAGCAGGTGCGCCTTACCTCCTTGCAGTTCTCTGAGTTGGAGAAGTGGATGAGATCGTCGTTGTACATCTCTTGGGTGTTGATGATGTCACTGTACTCCTTTTGGCTCAGGTCCTCGGGGTTGATGCCATTGGCCCGGAGGAACTCCTGGTAGGCCACGCTGAAGGCCTGGCCGATGGACTGGGCGATCAGCTGGGCCTGCGGGGAGGAGCACGGGCTTCTGAGGGAGGAGGTGGTGCAGCACGGCTGGGAGGAGCCCCTTCCAGGAAGGGAACCGTGGCTCCCACCAACACCCCTTGTGAGTCACCATTCAGTAAATCTTCCTTTTGCTCTCTTTTTAAAGACTTTTTGGATGAGGCCAGTATTGTGGTGAAACAGGACAAGCTGCCGCTACCTGCAACATTGGCATCTCACACCGGCGCCGTTTGCATAGCAGCTGCTCCACTTCCCCTCCAGCCCCCTGTTAACAGCCTGAGAAAGCCACAGAATATGCTTAGCTCCTGCACCCAAACAGAAGATCTGGAAGAAGCTCCTGGCTTCGGTCTGACCCAGCCCCGGCTGTCGCAGCCATTCAAAGTGAACCGGCAAATGGAAAACCTCTCTCTCTTTCTAACTCTGCCTTTTAAATAAATAAAACAAACCTTTAGAAAGTGAAGATTTATAGAGAGACACCCATTTAGCAAGCATTCCTGGTAATTCATTCACGTCCATGGAGCCTCACAAGGCCTGGGGTCGAGCCAGTGCAAAGGTAGAGAAACCCAACCCAGGTCTCCCCCATTAGGAGAATTCCAATCACTTAGCCATCATGGCTGGGACGCCAGCCCAGGCCTGGGAATCCCAGGTTTGGCGGGTTTGGCTGCCTTGGCTGCTGGGCCGGCACCCGTCCCTTATCTGCTGCTGTGTGCCCACAGGGCGTGACCCTGATGGCCCCCACCTGCACTACCTCCTGTCAGTCCCAGACACTGTAGGACACAGCGGCTTCCATAGTCAGCCTGGGGTAGGTGTGAATTCTTTGCTAAATAGCTTATTTCGGATGCTTTTCTTTTCACCCATCTTATTCCCAGACTGGGCTCGAGGTATGCTTGCTGGGGAGTGACATAAACATCCCAACCTTTAGCAACCAGGGAGGCAGCCTGGGCAAGCCCCACAGTTCTGGCAGGCAGAAGAGCATGGTCTTGGGACTCCGTCCCAGACCCCACAGGGCAAAGCACTTCTTCTGCCTCCTCCAAGCCCCTCCCTGGCCCATAGGCCTGGACAACGGTGTACCACCACGGGTCTTGCTGGCCACCGGCCAGGATACATATGGTGGACGGCACCAGATGGGCATGTGGCCTGCAGCCCTGGCAGAGCTCCCGTCTGCTCTCCGCTCACCACCCACCGACCCACCGACCCACCGCCCCAGGTGCCACCTAGGGGGCCTCTGCATGGGTGCCCTCAGAAAACAGGTGGGAACCAGACACCTAGTCAAAATGCCTTTCCCATGCACTCTGCTGGACTGTGGTGCTACAGATAAATGCCCACGCATAAAAGTGGGCCTGAACTCAGTGTGGGTCCGGAGTTCAGGTTTCTCTAGCTGGTGGCACCCTGTAATCACCAGGTGGCACTGCAGGCTTGGACATATGGGGAGCCAGATTGGGGCAGGGGGCATGGCACTAGAACAGGGTGAGGGGTGGGCAGAAGGCAGTGTGGGGACTGCCGGGCAGCCGGCACCTGCTCCACTCCAATCAGACTGGGATCTTAGGAGCTGTGGACGCTGAGACAGCCCCGCAGGCCCGTCCATGGGAAACAGGCCTGAGTCAGAGCCCTTCTCTGCCAGACAGGCACTGGGCAGGGGACCCGCAAGTGTCCCCCTTTGGGTTCAGTTGGAGGAGTCCTCCCTCATTCCTCCAAGGCCCAGCTGGAGGTCCCTGCATGGCCTCTCCTTCTGCCCTGCAGAACTGGGAAGGCAGTGACCACCATGGCATCCTGTGACCTCTGCCCTCTGCTGTTCGGGCTCCTCTGTGACTTCCTGCTCCTGGCTCTGGTGACTTTCCCATTAGCTGACTGCCCACCCCTCATCTGCCTGCTCCTTGTCCTACATGGCCCATTGGGCAGCCTGTCCTCCCCTGGGCCAGGTCTGTATGCCCTCAGCAGCTCCATGGTCAGGCATCCTTGCTGACATGTACCTGCTGCGACTTTAAGTTGATGACAAGTTCAAGCATGCCCAGACTGCATTTCAAGGTCAAGGAACTATTGGGACCTTTCCCTGACTTGCCTGCTGGCCCCAAAGAGGACAGCAATTTGCTAGCCACGTTGGCCCACGCTGCCAGCATGCAAAGCTTGCACTAAGCTAATATTCCTCACCAGGGGCCAGGCGCACAGAGAAGGCGTGGTCTTGACCATTCCAAACCAAAGGTGGCATGTGGCTTGAAGATGCTCATATCCCTTGTCAGGGAGCCTGGGGGTAGGCGAGCCCCAGCTCAGGCACTCCAGGCTCCTATGGGTGCACTCCTGGGGAAGCAGCTGTGAGGACCTGCATAGTCCTGTGCCTGTCACCTGCCACGTGACAGCCCTGGGTGGGGCTGCTGGCTCCCAACCTCAGCCCAATCCGGGCTAGTCCTGGCAGGCCTTTGAGGAGGAAACCAGTGGATGGGCACTCTGCTTCTCAAAGCAGTAAAACATGTCACGTGGTAAAACTACTCCAGCAATTGTGACAAAAATGGCTCTGCAGCAGCCACCCCTGTCCCCAAGCTGAGGAGCAGCCTGCAGGGGGTCTGCTCAGAGACCAGCGTTCGTCCCCTCCAGCTGCATAAAAAACCTCTCATCCCATTGAAGGAAGGAGTCAAGGGCTGCATGGTCTCTTAATAGGTCCTTGGGATTTGAAACTTCAGGATGCTTTAACTTGCTATGGGGTGTAACGCCAGAGGTCAGCCTCTGCTGTAGAGGACGTGGCACCCGATGGTTCAGGTTCCAATACAGGGAAGGCAGCAAGTGATGGGCTTTGTTATCATGGCAGGTGGAGGGAGCAGGTTTTGTAAAAGGGCTGCTTCAAACACACAGCTCCCCTGATAGACTTAACTGCAGCTCTGTTATCGAATCGTTCCCAATAACCTGGTTCATGGAGTCAAAGTCAGGTTCACACGCTCTGCAAACCCAGAGCATGAGGGAGAACACCGAGCCTGCGGGGGCCCCGCGGGCACGGCTCCTGGGGCGCCCCGCTGCCCTCCAGGGTGCCAGTACTCACGTCCTCCGACTCGAACACGTGGCAGATCATCTTGTACTGCTTCTTCCCCTCCTGGGCCCCGGGGGTGGTCTCCACGCAGTCCTGGGAAGCCGAGCGGGGCATGCGGCGCCTGGCCATGAGCACCACGATGTTGCCGATGTCGGCGATGTAGGAGATGGTGCGCAAGGCGTGGTCCATCATGGTTTCCTGCCGGGAGAGAGGAGGGGGAGAAGCCCACGTCAGCCGCCATTCTGGGAGACAAGTCATTAACAGACACTCTCGCCCGGCTTCTCAACCTTGACGCCTGACATCTGGGACACCATCGTTCTCCGCTAGGCAGGGGCTGCTGTGTGCACTGGAGGACGCTGGCACATCCTGGCCTTGACCGACCAACCGCAGGGCCAATGGCACCTCCCCCTCTCCCGGCACATCTCCAGCTGCTGCCTCATGTCCCCCTGGGAGCAGGGAGGGGGTGCAAATTTTCCCACTGAGAGCCACAGCTCCAGTTATTGGAGCGACTGATGGCAGGGGGGTGTGCTGTCAGAGTCTCTGCCTCCAGCTCCGGCTTCCTACCCCAGATGACTCCGCCGGCACTTGGGGAAGGCCTGGCTGGCTATTAATGGCATGGTGAGGCCCTGGGGAGAGCCCAGAGAACAGAGACGCCAGAGCCGAGGTTCCCCACCGAGTCAGCCCTTTGCCTGCAGGTCACGTATTCTGGGTAAGGTCACAAGGCACTGAGCTCTGCTGCTTGGCTCTCATCCACATAGGTGCCCACAGCCCCAGCAGGTGCACTCTCCACAACTGACTGCACACAGAGCTCTGGGGCCCTCCTGCCACATGTGGACACCTTTCCTTAAACTTCCTGGGGTCCACTGGGCACCACACTGTCCATCTCTGAGACCAATTTGGTTTTGGGTCACAATCCCAGCCCCAGGGACAGACACCTCGGAGGGGACAGGCAGGGCAGCTCTCCAGCACCTCAGGGACATCCTCCTTGCAGGTAAAAGCTGCCCTCCAACCTGGCCATCACCTTCTCTCTTCCCTCAGCAGGTCACTTCCACTTGCAGCTAGCAGGTCAGGGAGCCACCAGCACCATCAGCAGCCAGCTCCTGAGCTACCAGTGGCCCTTGCTCCCACCTCACAGAGGCATCTGCAGAAAGGGGCAACAGCTGCAGCAGACGCCTGGCAGCTGGCCTGGGCAAGACCCCTGGCAAGGCAAGTCCTTAAGAGGGTTCCTACTGCTTTAACTGGTGGGCTGGCTCACCCTGAGCAAGTCACAGGCTCCACCCCTAAGATCTGGATACCAGCCAGGCCCTGGTTGTCTGAGGGACCAGCCTCCTAGAAGATAACTCCACACTGTGTTATAACTAGGTGCCCAGGGGCTCCTGTGTGCCTGCCTGGGGCTCCCCTGGACTTGGCCCCAGAGGCGTTTTCAAACCTTCACTGGCTCTGCTTGCTGTGACTCAGCTGTGAGTAGGACAAGATGCTGAGGCCAGGAGTCCTGAACCTGGGGTGGTCTTGGGGACTCCCCATACAGGTGGGAAAAAAAGAGGGTGGGAGGTCACCCAGGACATTGGTCAGCAAGACCTCCGAGGACAAAGCCCCAATCTGACCACTGATTGTTGTCTCTGATGGGCTAAGTGTGTCCCTGGAGAGTACTGGGGTGGGGAGTCAGGGTGCAGACCTGCACAGGGGAGAGGCAGGGGAAGTCCCATAGTGGCAGGAGCTGGCACTTCAGCTGGCAGGAGCTGACTCACTGGAAGATTGCCCACTCAGGGGTGGGCAGCCTGTGAGTGGGCCATGGCACAGGTCTGGCAGCTTCAAGACGCTCTGCTGCTTGCCCTGATCCCCAGAAGAAGGAAGGAGAGAAGGGGCTCCCGGCACAGCTTCCCACGGGCAGCAGTGGTGGGCCAGGGAGAACATGAGCATCACCGGCACGCAGGATCCTACTCCCACGTCTCACTGCCCAGGAAACCCAGCCTGGCTCCTGGAGATAAAAGCTAGCTCCGGGTCCAAGGCAGAGAGGCCCATGTACACTCAGAACCTCCGGGTCCAAAGTAGAGAAGCCCCCTATACACTCAGAATGTCCCACTGCCCATGGAGAGAAGGCAGTGTACAAACCCCAGGCTAGGGGCTGCACCCAGGCAGGACCCAGTTGGAAGGTCCTGCCTGGTCCACTGTGAGGCCATCTGAACTCAAGGGCAATGGATGGCAATACACAGGTTCCGCAAAGAGAACAGGACACAGGAGGCCATGACAAAAGGAAGGAGGTGGCCAACAGGCAAGGTGGAGCAGCTCTTCGGAGAGGAAGGCCAGCCCTAGAGGGGCACGTGGGGTGAGATGAGATGACCACCATGGTCAGGGCCCTTGGGCCAGAGCAGTCACAGATACCAAAGCCCCATGGGTACAGGGCCAGGAGTGACCCCCAGGCACCAGCCACAGACACAGAGGCCTCTACCCAGCACAGACCATCGTCACCAAGGCCAAGGGTGAGGGATCCTTTCCTGTCTGCCTGAGGCCACGCCCCTCACACTGGGAGCCCTGACAGACCCCTGGCTCTGACCCCTGCCTGCCACCACCTGCAGCCCCAACCCTTCTTAAGGCTAGCCCATGATGACATGGTTTCACTGCCTTCCTTACCACCAACAGGTGCCATGCAGGGATGCGGGCTGAACCACAAGAAGGGGTGGGTGGCTACAACCTTCAGATTCCTCCCTAGAGCAGTCAGCTCTCCTGCTGGGCTTCCAGACTTGCCATTCAGGGGCTCCAGAAGGTTGCTCTAGAACCCAGCTACTCCCTGCATTTTGTTCCCATCTGGTCCTACCTATGATTCTGTCACATCTGCTGACTTTCGTTCTTCCAGCCTCGCTTTAAATGATTTAGTTATTCAAAAGGCAGAGAGATATTCCACTCACTGGTTTACTCCCTGAATGGCCAGTAGTGGCTAAAGCTGAGCTGGGCTGGGCCAGAGCCCAGAGCCCAGAATTCAATCCAGGTCTCCTACAGAGGTGGCAGAGACCCAAGTGCCAGAGTCATGACCTGCCGTCTTGTCCTGCAGGAAGCTGGATTGGAAGTGGATGTGATGTTAGCACCCCAACAATGTCTCCACTGCTGTGCCAAGCCCCACCCTACTCCTCTTGTCACTCACATTATTGGCTCTGCAACCACAGCTCACTCAGTGCCCAGCGAGAGAGCATGGCTTGGGGACACCCATCCCCTCTCCTGCAGCTCCCTGCCCTGGGTTCTCACAGGTCCCCAAGGTGCGAACTCCAGCGTGGGGTTTGCACACGATACACAACGCTCACCTGTGTGTCGGCGTTCAGAACCTTGATCCTCTGGGTGGAGATGAACAGGTCGACTTCCGTCAGCGTCTGCGCGTCACCCTCGGAATTCTAACAAAAGACGGTGAACACGGTGACAAATCCAAATTATCCCGCGGCCGTGCACACACAGAGCTGCCAAAGAGCAGCCCCCACCCTACTCTGGGCATCCTAAACCCAAGGGACAGTGCCCGCAGCAGTTTCCAAAAAACAGAGAAAGCAGGGGATGGGATGCTTCCAGGATGCTGGGCTGTGGCGGGGTGTCCTGTCTCCTGGGGTCCCACGGGGTGCCCCCCTCCAGAAGCCAGGTTAGCTGTGGCTAACTCGGAGAAAGCTATCTCCCACCCTGCAGGCTAAAGCTGCTGCCTCGACTGGGGAGTCCAAGCATCCCCAGGAAATGAAGACGACATTTCCAGAGAAGCCGGATTAAGATGTCAGCCTCTCCTTCTAATTTAAGCAGTCACGAGCTTACCCCCTCCAGCGTCCTGGGCCAGGCTTCCCAAACCCCCCAGGGCAGGCCAACAGAGACCTGAGGCTGGCTGAGATAGGCTGCTGCCAGGTGAACGGACCTGCCACCTGCATGCGTGTGAGCCAGCTGCGATCCCGTGGACTGTTCTGGAAGCCGGGTGAACTTCAGGGTTTACCCCAAGCCAGCGCAGCCTTTAATTGGTTTCTCCATCAGTGAAAATCCTAATTACTACTGCACAGCGCTGATGAGATGCAAGATCCATCGGCCTCCCTCTTCCCCTCCTCTTCCCTCTCCCCAGGGTGAATAATTCTTCCCGGTCACCCAGAAGCCCATGGCGGTTTATCTTCCACTTCCAAACGGCAGAAACTGTGACTTAATGACTCACTAGAAGATTGGGAATCAAAGGCCTCCCTGCTGATGCTGGTTCAAGAATGCCAAGTAACACAGAGGCTCCATGACACAGATAACTTAGTGCATGAAATCCATCAACCAGGGCAAGAGGCTTTGGGCCTTCTGGTGTACCACAAGCTGCTGACTATTCTAACGCATGTGAAGGGAAATGGAGCAGCCTTGACCTGGCTGCAATCCTGCAGTCACCAGCATGTCTCTGGGCACACCCTGGGGTCCAGGCTAACCCAGCATCATAACCTTGCCAGCTGTGCCAAAGAACATGCGCTGGGCTTGGGGCAGACCAGCAGGTGGGGTGTACTAGCCCTGCAATAAGCCCTTGCCACCTGCAAAATGAGTGGTCAAGCCTGGGACCAACTCTAGGGACCTCACTCCATGTAAATTCCAGTCCAGAACAGAAGCCCTTGGCAGAGATCTGAAGCAGCTCTTCTCCAAAAAGGGCAGAGCAAATCCAACCCACCTTCAGTCACGTGTCACCTTTGGCGCAGTCCTCCCGGGTTGTGAGGACCTCCTCCAGGGACAGCGACTCCACAGGGCAGTTGGACCTGCAGATTCTGGGAGCAGGCTGTACACAGCCCAGGAGGACTTCCTGTGCCTCTGCCTACACTTCATGGGGAGCTGCAAGCATGGAGGCGCCACCTCTCTCTGGGGGGACACATACCCCGACTGCAAGACTACCAATACCAGGGTTTGCATATGTATCCCCCTACTCCAAACTCAGAGGCTGGCTGCCAATGTCTTATTGTACTGGCATCAGAAGGGTGGAAACCTGCTCCAGCAATAGTGTTAGCAAGGGTTCTCAGGGAAATGGGCTGGACGTGGGGGTGGGGTCCCTGTGGCTGTGCCTAGTAGCTTTATAAGGGACCCAGGAACCTGCAGTTGCCATCTCTTGCCCTGAGCGCCCTGTGTCTTCTCTGGGTTCTGTCGCCAAGGATGCCTTGACCAAGGACTGAACCTCCATAACTATGAGCCCAAACAACCCTCTTTTCTATGAGGACTTGTACAGCTTCAAGTAGTTCACTGCAGCAATGACAGGCTGACTGAGACAGCCACTGGGGCCTGCTCTGTGCTGCCCAGAGGCAGCCAGCGGGCAGTGTGATGGACAGAGGCAGAGGACTTCTCAGAGATGACAAGGAATTCCACTGGGCAGAGCAGAAAAGGCCCAAGCAGGTGGGAGTTTGACTGCTGGGGGAAGGGACACCCCAAGGGGTCCTGACACACCCCTTAAATGCCATGGCTTCAGGCTGGGCAGGGTGCACCAGCCGGGTCATGTCTGATGTGTTCTGCCAAGCACTGACTGGACAACCAAGTGGACAGAGGACTAAGGGTTAGCCGCACTTGTGGAGCCTGTGTGTGCCGGACGCAGCTCCGTGGGGCAGCAGCAGAACCTTTCAGAGTCTAAATGACCAGGGGACCTGGATAACAGCTGCATCAGCCACAGAACTGTCACCTAATGTTCCTCTAAAGCAAGTCCACATAACACAGGGATATCACAGCAGCTGCCACATGCTAGTCCACGGGATGCTCCAAACTACCAGAGAGCAACAGTTCCACTCTGCTGCCAGTGCATCCTTACAGGAAGAACAGGGCCTTGGTCTCACTCCAAGCCTGCTTTCTACCAACCAGAGGAGAGCGGAAACTGCTTTACAATGCTGTGTGGATCTCCCCCACAGCCCTGGGGCCAGCCCCGCCACACCAGCGGAGACCCCACAAGATCCCAGGGCCGCATGGTCCTACGCACCGCTTTCTTCTTGATCTTAGCAGCCTTCTGCATCCTCTGAGCAGCGTGCAAGAGAAAAGAAAAGCCAGCTGGGTGCCGAGAGCAGGAAGGCATGTGGGCAGCTGTTCCCTGAGACTCAGTCCTGGTATCCACAGAAGCCCCCAGGGACAGAGGGACGACCACCACAAATGCCTGGCCACTGTCTGTCTGTGGAGGCTGGGACTGAGGACAGGACCTGGGATGGGGGATGCAGTCAGTTAGCCTGGGGTCTGGGGCATGGCTTCAGTGAACAGGGTTCAGCATTGACCCTCACTCCAGTGACCTCCATGGCTGACCTGGGGGTGCCCCTGGGCCTCTGCCAAAGTGGGCTGAGGTGTGCTGAACACAATGGAGAGGCCAGTGTGGTGCTCATCACTCTGGGCCGGCAGTGTCTGCAGAGCCCCCTCGCCCCTCCCTCGAGGCCGTGCCACTTTTAGGACATGCCTTCATCACCCTAAGAAGTCTCAGACAATGTCACGTGCACATGAGCTGCAAGGGTGTTGGGGTTCATCCAGAGGTCATGCATGTAAGCCGCACAGGGCTATTTCCTCCTTTAGGTGCAAACCATCCAACCAGGATGAGAGGCTCTAAACCCACAGTTGAAGCCAAGATCACTTCCAGTTGTTTCTAAAAGCTGCCTCTTCTAGAGGGCTTGGGATGGGAGAGAGGGAGGTGTTCCTTCCCAGGGCTCCTGTACGCAGCCAAGGCTCCAGCCTGCCTGCACTTCACTGGGCAGCATGGCCCTCCCACTCTGCCCATGCTGCAGATTTGGAGCTGGACAGTGCACCTGTGCTTGTCACTACTGCCCTGTCTGTGCTCCAGGGCACCCTGGGGGCCATTCCCTACCTTGACCCGGCTGACAGCCTCCTGTGCTTGCATCATCCTGATGTTCTTGGAGGGGTTCCTCTCGGACAGCAGCTGCGTTGACCCCAGGTAGTTGGCAGCAAAGATGATCCCATCGATGAGGTCTTCAGGCTCGCAGGGCCCTGGAACTGAGGGGCCACAGGGTGAGCATCTTTCTAGAAGAGGATGGCTCTCCCCCAAGGCCTCACCTGGCCTGAGGAACACAGTGGCTGGGATGAGGGGTAAGCCCACTCCACCTTGTTACCCTGACAGTGCCTGGTGCAAGGTAATGGCACGAAATGAACAATGCAGCCAAGTAACTGCATGAGCAGTGTCAGGAGGGTGACCCTGGGGTCCCTGGACAGGATGCCTCCAGGCATCTCTATCCCCAAGGTGATGGATGACTGCAGCCCCAAGAAGTGCAGCTTCCCCAAAAAGGCAGCACCCCCCATGCTGCCCACCAGCCTCCTGGAGCTTAGTGGACTGGGCTCTGCCCCTCCTGGGGCTCCTGCTTTCCTGCAGCCCCCATACCTCCAACCACACCACAGGCTCCCAGTGGACAACACAGCCCTTGTCCCATGCGCAGAGCCCCTGGCTGTGCAGGAGTGCCCCCAGCACTGTCCCAATGACAGTCACTATCCAGCTGCTACAGTGTGGAGCTCACACTGTGGGCGCCTGCCAGAGAGTGGCTGAGCCACTTTCTCAGGTCTGACTTCTGTGAGTTGGAGTGGAGAGACTCCCAAACCCCTCTGGTGAAGGTCAGAGGTCACTGCAGGTGTTGGTGTGGCCTCAGCCAACATGGAAATGAGCGGCCTCAGTTGTGTCTGATAAAGACATTTCCTCATAGAGATTGGGGTCATGGTCAGGCACCTGCTGAGTTTGCCTGCAGTCCTGCCTGGACATGCCACCTGCCCTGTCCTGTTCCACAGCCCTCCTGCTTCAGGGGTTCTGGCAATGGGCTCCTGCTCTTGTCCTGGCTGCCCTGGGAGCCATAACAATGTCACAAGGCCAGTGGACCTGCATGTCCCAACCCTCATGGCCACAACCTCCTCCCCAAGCCCACACACTCAGCAGCCTGCTGCTGGCTTCCCTGGCAGGTCCACAGGAGCCTCCATCCCAACCTGCCTGGCACAAGACAAACCCTCACTCCTTCTTCTGTACCAGGCCAGGCACAGCCCAGAGCCCCCCAGGACTCCCAGCCACACAGACAACCCACATCTACCCTATCCACAAGTCCTGTCTCCACTGCCTGCCAAGCATGTCTGGTATCTGCCCATTTCCCTCTGGCACCACTATCACCCTGGACGTGGGGGCTCCAGGGAAAACAGAACCATAGGGACAACAGAACCACAGCAGTCCAGGGGTCTGTGTCTCCCACCCCAAAGCATGCATGTTGGAATCCCAACCTCGAAGATGATGATGTTAAGAGTAAGGCTTTTGGGGGGCATCAGGGAGCAGTGGGCATGATTAGTAACACCATCGAAGCAAGCCCACGGAGCTCCTTCCTCTCTCCACCATGGGCAGGACAGACAGTCAGCTCTCAGCGTCTGGCGATGCTGGTATCCTGAGCTGACCCCTGGCTCCCAGAATTGTAAGAAGTTTAGGGGTCCCCAGTCCAGGCTGAGCCCTGAATCAGCCACTTGCACAGGAGGGTTCTGCAGCGCCAGAAGGCTGATCTTCTGCCCTTGCTCCCGAGTCCCTGTGAGCCTGCAGCCTGGAGTCCTGTTTGGAGGTCAATGCCATAGCGGGGCAGGCACTATACCAATGCCTGCATTCCCAATTCCTACCCACACTGCCATCTGGATGAAAGGGCCTGGATGAGTGGCCAGGGAGGGAGCAGGCTGTCGTCCACTGGAAGTGGCCTGCAGTGCATGTCATCTGAGCTTCCGCCCACAGGCATCCGGTGAAGTACACAGCCTTCCGGCCAAGTCCCAATACCTGTCTGAGACCCAAGTTCCCACCCAACCTATCTCTGCCATCCGACTGGAGAAGGACATGCCCAGCTGCAGAACGCAAAGGCAGGTGGGTGGGATGGGGTCCTGGTAGGAGCTGGAGGGAAGGAGGTCCCTTGTGGAGCTTGTTTCTAGAGCGTCAGTGTGGAAAAGTGGGGCCCCTTTCCTTCAGGGACAACTCAGGCCCTGTGCCAGTCGTGCCTCAGTTGCACTCTTCCTGGACCACCCACGCTGGCCTACAGCTCCGTGCTGGCTTCAGTCAGAGAGAACGATGTGGCCACTGCACACTGACCAGGGCCTTGGCCCAACAAGGAGGGGGCCCCTCCCAGCCTCAACCCTCACCACGAGCCCTTCAACCTCCACAAACCCTTCCTCCGTGTCCTCTATGCACACACGCACACACACACATGCATGTGTATACAAACTCATGCAGTCACATGTGCACACATACACACGTGTGCAACTCACACATATGCTTTCACATATACATACACATACACAGTACACTCATATATACATACATGCACGCACATACACACACAGAGTCAAGGCGTCCCACAGCCTTCCTCATGGGGCCCACTCCTTCCCGCAGAGCCCATGCACCTGCTGGGGCTGTGACAATTGCCAAGGCAACCAGGCCTTCAGAAAGAATGTGTCGCTTTCCAGGGGCAGAGGGCCAAATAACAGCTTCAGATGGCCTGGCGCAGCACCTGCTGTTTTGACCTCCATTTCTCTCCTGGCAAAGTGGAGGGAGAGCCTTCCAGCTTCTCTTTCTGCAGGGGGTTTAGCACAGGGAATGCCTGGCATGAACTGACCACCTTCAGGATTTACACACAACCCTGGAGACAGATGGCAGTACCCAGGGCATGCCAGCCCAACCACACCCCAGCCATAGTGACTGGCTGCAGGAAAGTGACCAAGGCCCTCACAGGCACAGTGCCTGTGGCCACTGGACACGGCCACAGCAGGGCCCTGACCCAAAGGCAGCCGCGTCCCGGCTGGTGGCTTCTACATGGCCAAGGCTGTGGCATATCCCAGCTACAGGCAAACAGCAGCACACACTTCTCTGCTTAAAACACCCAGAGCTGAAGTTTTTAGCAGGGAAGAGGAAGGGGGTCTTGGAGTGCCCTCCCCCCGTCCTGAGTCACATGTGCCTTGGCCTCTGACCCCAGAGACGGTGCCTCATTGAACTCACAGGATACATTCTCACTTTATTTCTCTCTCTGTGTCTCTCTCTCTCCCTCCCTCTGTCCTGTGAGTAACTTGGGATGGGAACACACCTGGTCTCTAGCAATAAGAACAGACCCCCTCCCTTCCCAGCTATTGCAAAAACAAATTTAATTTGGACTCTGCAGGGTCAACCCCCTCTCGCCAGCCCGGGCCCATGCCACGTGCTCATGCGGAAGGCAGCAGGAGACTGCCCCGACCTTATGACAACACCCCAGGCCCCAAGGGTAAGAAGGCCTCTGCTGACCCCTGAGGTTCATCAAGGCCACAGTCCATTCGGCCTCTTCCTCCCACTAGGGTGCCTTGGTTCTGTCTGTGGAGCAGACACAACCTTCTCCCACACAGGCAGGATCCATGCAGCAGGCAGGGACTACAGGGGTCAGGGTCAGTGGGGGAAGGAAGCCCCCTGCCCCGCCCAAGCATCCTTTCCCACCTGAGGTTCATGCTACACCTGACCCCCAAGGCTTTGGACTGCAGGATACCCACCTTGGATGAGTCACCTGTCACTCCAGTGAGCATGGGTCCACGCACATAGCAGGGACCCGATGCACTGATCATTACTAGCCAAGAGATGGTGCCACACTGCTCTGCAGAAATGATTGGGCCTCCCAGCCACCCGAGAATGCTGTCCAGGGTGCTTACTCACATTCTGGGTGTGGGAAGGGAGGCTTCATGAAACCCCATGGGCTTCACCTAAGGGTCAAGGTTGACCAACCCTGCCCCAAACACATGGCTGTCACAGCCTCTAACGCGACCTGTAAACCTGAATCAGGGAGCAGCAGCAGGAGCGGTGCGCTCTAAGCTAAGACCACCAGAGGGAGACAGAGTGACAGAAGAATAAACAGAAGAGGTTCTAGAAACGGCTGCCTCCCCAGGGAGTGGCTTTTCCCTCACACAATGTCTCTCTTCCTTACAGAAGCATGTGTGATGTGTGCACAGCCTGCTAAGGAACGTAGCACTATGCCCTTCCTTGCCCGACCCCCTGTTCTTCCATGTCAGCCCTCCAAACAGGGAGGCCATGGGGCATCCCAAAGGGCTGTGCCTTCCAGCCCCTGAACAAGGGTGGTAAGCGGGGCTTCCACTGTGCCTGCTTCTCTCTGGGGTCTTTAGTGGCTGGGCACAGGTGTGCACCTACAGAAAGGAGGCCTGGCATGAAGCCCCAGGCCAGACACAGCAGCCCTGTATATGACACGGGGATACCACCTCCCAGCCGCTCACAGCCCACTAGGGCAGACCTCACTGTCCCAATTTTATCAAAAAGGACCACTGAAGTGACTTGGCCAAGATCCTGTTCTGCAACCAGCCCAGCAGCAGGACCAAGACCAGGCTGCAGAGACAGCACCGGCCAGAAGTGAGGAGCTGGGGATGGGGCATGCGGTAGCCACCAGGGCAGCAGCCCAGCCCATGAGAATCAGCTCAGCTCAGCGAAGAGCTGAGAGGAAGAAGAGGGAAGAGCGGAGAGGCTACTGCAGGGCAGAAGTCCAGGCCAGGGAGCAGGCTGCAGGTGTGGGCCTGGAGTAGGGGCAGGCAGCGGCACTCTGGGGCGCACTTGAAAGCGTGAGGTGAGGAGGGGTGCAGAGTCACTGGATGGGCAGAGCTGGCACCCCAGAGAAGGGCTGACCTTGAGGGGTTCTGGGCAGGCTCTATTGCAGAGGCCTTGGCGCCCTGCAGAAGGAGCCCAGCAGGCCGCTGACTCAGGAGTCCCCGGCAGGGAAACAGATGGGAAATGAACTGTGGCAGGTGCCAAGCATGGCACAGGCAGGGATGAGTCACGAGCGGGGGTGGCGGGGAAGTTGCAGGGAGAGCAGTGGGAGGAGGCCCCAGGCCCAGCTCTGCCCCAGCGCCAAGCAGAGGAGCAGTATTTGGAAAGGGAGGAGTGCCCAGACGCCAACTTCAAGGAGTCCTTGGAGACTGGGCCTTGTGACAAGGAGGTTCTGGTACCACTGGGGCATCATGTACAGGGACAGCAG